TGTGTGTGTGTGTTTTTTTTTTACACAAGTAATTTTTGTGGCCAAATACTTCTACCTCATCTACCGCATATAAAGATAAGATCACATTTATTACTTCCACACTGGGGAAATTTGCAGTCTACGGCAGCAAAATGTGGGGGGAATAAAGTGTTTCATTGCACAAAATAAATATTTCAGAAAAGAACTGTACACAATCAAATATAAGTGCAATATAAAATAAAGCATTAGCAATATATTTGAAGAATAAATATAATAAATTAGCTATAAAGCTTTTAATAATGAAATTTATACATTTTTTTTGTTCTTGTTTTTTTGTCTCGACCGTTTCAACGACACAAGGTGATGCAACGAACGGCGCTTGCTTTCAAGCCAGTAACATTTTAGTAACCCGTGTGACCACACAGAGGCGACAGAGATCCATTTACACGTTGGAAAGCTAGTTGCACTTTTAAGTGTTTGTACTTTGTTCCCTCCCTCCACTCGTGTTTCTGTGCTGATTATTAGGAACTAACACTAATAATGCTGTTAGCTAACACGATTTTTTTTTTTTTTTTTAGCAAAACCCTTGATGTTTAAAATATCTATAGCAGGGGTTACCAACTCTGGTCCTCGAAGGTACCTATCTTGCATGTCATTGATGTTTCTTATCCAAAACATGCGCGGCCGGGGCCCTCGAGGACCGGAGTTATTTAATGTTTGGTGCAAAAACCCAAATAATCATCAATCATATTACATAAATTCCCAGATGTTAAAGTAAAATTGTAGTTTTCACAGGCCTCATTAAATGACGAGGAAGGCCTTGATCTTGACACATCCACACTAAAGAATAACAACGTTTAATGCAATCTCTAGATACTAATTTGAACAACTTTTAACAAGTTAACAGAAAGAAACTGAATGTGAAAATGTCGTACAGGGACAACTTTGCATGCACTTGAGCTATTTAATGTGTGCATTTGCATAGCAAAAGTCATTTAGAGTTGTTTTTTTAAAACTTGGATTCCAAAGAACACAGGGAGCTGATGTTCAAATGAGCAGAGGGAGTTAAATGGAGAAAGACTGATGACAAACAGATGCTAACTAGCCTCTTGTGACAGCCAATCAACCAACCAATCAGCCAGTCATCCAAACAGTGATACTTAAATGGTGTTATTGTCTTCACTTCACTCCTAACTGACAAGAACTGCACAAACAAAGGAGACTGAGTAAAATCTACCAAAAGTCCAGATACCAATACAAACAATAGAAAAAAAAACATTAACACAATTCAGAAACATACAAACATTTACAACATACAACAATTACGTCCATATTCAAAACCCAGCTCAAAACCCACCTATTCAGACTTGCATATCCACCTTAAATCTTTCTATTCTTTGTTTATAATTTTATCTGTGGTTTTATTATTTGCTCTTGGTGTAAAGTGTCCTTGAGTGTTGTGAAAGGCGCTTGCAAATGAAATGTATTATTATTATTATTATTATTTAGGAATATTGTATTTTTCAAATGACAGCACCAAGTATGAAGTACATTGAAATTGTTAGCCTTTCAAGTTACGGGTAGAGATGTGCTTTTGCAGGGTATTGAATGTCCTGCTAATTTCTACTCACGGAAATTCGGGCTCTCTCTTGGCCTCAGGTTTGTTTGTTTGTCTGGTTGGTTGTTGCATTCACACAGCCACAAACACATTTACCTATGTGCTTTGCTCACACTTCATATATTTACATGCTCACATCCCATCTACCTTTTTGTTGTTTAAAGTTAGTATTTGTAATCAATCATTCAGTTAACCTATGTTATTGTCTGAGTCCCCTCATTTTCTAGCCACAGTCTTCGCGCCAGCCTGTGACAGATGATGTCTTCGATGGATGAGCACCTTGTGCAACTTGATGACATCTTTACGAGACTTGCTGCACACGGGATGATCATTTACCCAGCCAAGTGTCTTTTTGGTGTTGCTCTTCATCCACTTCCCGGGGCATCTCATCACGCTCTTCCCACAAGGGTGGAGGTCATCTCTGCTTTTTGGCCGTCTGCTAACTAAGCGCTCTGGGAATTTCTTGCGATGCTTACATTCTACCACCCGCCCATGCTGGGCGGCCCACATCATGAACCCACTATATGAGGCCCCCAAGGTAAATCCCCCCACACACCCATTGTGTGAACAGCCGACTTGGAGAATGCCTTCAACAACGTCAAAGCCGCTTGGGCCATGCCACTATGTTGGCACACCCGTCACCAGCACCCCCCCGGTGGATGGAGCCTGGCAGCCGCTCACCCATTTTAGTCATAGGCTGTCCCCTCGAGAATGTAAATACAGCCAGAGGAGGGCATTATCAGTCCATCAGTGAGCTGCCGTCAGTATTTCAGGCTTGTTCACCACTCCGTCGGTGACAGCCAAATGAGGTTAAGAAACGGACTGAGTACTATGTCACATACTTAGGATATTATTTTAAAAGGTAACAAAACACAGACAATGTGAATTATATACCAAGTGTGCACAAAATCATTTGCCTTGCCAAGAGGATGCGTTCTCTCATTGGTCATTTGTGACCTCATGGAGCCTGGACTCACCAGATTTAAGTTGATTGGATGGACAGAAGTCTGACGATGTGATTCAGAGCAAAATAACCCACCTGCTGAGCCAGTTCCAGATATCAACGACTCATTGTGGGTAACACATTTCATAAGACGGCACTTGGATAGGTCACCCCCCCACCCCCAGCATTTTGTGTGTGTGTGTGTGTGTGTGTGTGTGTGTGTGTGTGTGTGTGTGTGTGTGTGTTTGGCTGTGTCAGGCTATGAACAATGTATTTATCAAATTGAAATTTGATGTAAAAAAGTATACTCTAATTGTTTGGAACTTGGGCGGCCCGGTGGGCAACCGGTTAGTCATTCGTGCGTCGGCCTCACAGTGCAGAGTTGCAAGGTTCGATCCCAGCCTTCCTGTGTGATGTTTCCTTGTCTCCCCGTGCCTGCGTGGTTTTTCTCTGGGTACTAACTGTTAAACCCTTAGCCACACCTTGTGTATGCTCACTGTGTGGTTGGCAAAAAAAGTTAATAATTCACATTTTAAGTTATTTTGATGCATTTAAGAGATGGCCATGCGTATATGTTTCTAGAAAAATGTTTTCACTTTCTAGAAAATATAGAACATTTGATTGTGAAATGAATACTACTCCTGAATATCATTAATATTTGGTGCCTTGTGTTGTGCAGTGAAAGCCAAAGTGATCAAATTAATTAATATAATATTTCCTAATTTTAGCAATTACCTGCACACAAGTCCAGAGAGTGTACCATGACACCATCAGTGACTCGCGAAATATAATCCAAATGAAACCTTTTTCCTTTTGAATGACCTGTTTGTCCGGGTGTCTGGTTTCTGTGAATCAACTCCTTATTGATTTTTTGTAAATAATTTATGTAATGGGGAAAAAAAATAACATTGAAACCCTATTTTTACACATGAGTAATGGACATACTGTATACCGACTGGCTGTATATGTACACCCTTTAATGCGTACTTCCACGTGTTCATATTTCTCCACAGGAAAGCCAGTCACAGGTTTGTCTCACTTTTGAGCCCAAGAAGTTATATATCATTTGTTTCATACTTTTCTGTACGAGCAGAAATGATGCCAAATTGTAAGGGGGAATTTTTATATGATCTACTCGCCAGACAAAACTTTTTGTGTAACAACCGTTTGAAATTCACCTCCCACCTCCCACCTACTCGTAAAAGTCTTTGCATTTTAGATTTGCTCATTGATGATGAGCAAGTTCCGCAGTATGAAGGGGGCACCCACATAAACACACGTGCATACACAAACGTGTTTACATTTCATCTTCCTGAACTGAACCACCATCTCACAATTTATCCCCAAACACATGCAAATGCATCATGATAAAAGGTGAAACCGTTCAAATAATCTTTAAACAAACTCTACACAGTATGTTGTGCAGTTGGTCTTTGAAACTACCAAAAAAAAAAAAAAGCCCCTGAATGATAATTCTTCATCTTACCATGACAATTTGGACAAGTTTGTGGAGCAGGCAGGAGCTAAGCTAGCTTTATGGTTCTTGTTTTGATACAGATCTAGTTTAGGTGGTGGAATGTGTGTTTCTAATGCAAATTCTTAACCACTGATTACAGCAAACTCATTTAAACTTGATTCAAATGAGCTGCTTGTGCGCTAACAAGATATATTAACTAAAGAGGATTGGGGGTTGGGGGGGATACATGACAATGCATTACAGGATACACAACAAATGTTCGCCCCTCAGTGGGATAAGAGCTTAAAAGTAGACATCTTGACATAAAAAAACAGAGAGACCGGTTCGAAATGTGATCAAATGAAAGGTTCCTCCTGGAAAAAAAAATTGTTTGACTTCTGAGGGTCCATTCTGCAACTAGGAAAGCACTCAGTGAAGGGTTATTAAGATTTACACACCACCTTTCCCTTCCTCTTAGACACACCCACAACCACCTCTTACTCTCTCTCTCTCTCTCTCTCTCTCTCTCTCTCTCTCACCCCCCCCCACACACACACTTAATACAAACAAATGCCAAGTGTTTTTTCCTTTCTTTGTAAAAGTGTAAAGCCACCATTGTGATGGATGTCTTCCCATGGTGGCTTCAGTGCTGTTATGTCATTGTTCTTTCTCCCAAAATAACTCATCCTGACTTGGTGGAGCAAATGTTCATGGTTCCTTTTAGACTTTGACTCAAAGGGCGTCCACCAGTGCACGCAACGTATATAAATGGAAATGGGCATTCGGAGCAAATTCAAATGTCAGCTGTTTAAGATGAGAGACCCATTGTGGGAAAACGGGATGGAACCATCATATAATTATTCATGAATCTTGAATATGTTTTCATGAATAATAGATAAGAGGCATTTTGTTGAAGATGAAGCCTCATCATTTTAATCGACCCTGCCTTCTCTCATTTTCACTGACCTCCAGTATGAAATGAATTTCCTTAGTTCACCCGAATCATGAATCCCTGTCAGCGGGATTATCCGTATATTGATATTCAACGCAAGATCTCTAGCTTGCGTTGAATTTAGACCATATACAGTGGGCTTCTCTGTCACATTTATGATCAACGCTGAAAGCAATGTAAATCAGTTGTGTTTTTATACATGAGTCACTGGGCATACTAAAATACAAATATAAAAAGACCCAACGGCAAATGGATCAATTTGCTGAGCTCAGCTCCTATTGGCTGCCACAAAATATGAATCCTCTTTGCAACTCATATCGGAAAGAGAAGTGAATCCCCCGAACGTTGTTTGTTTATCCGCATTTTGATCTGAGTATGTATGTCAGTTCTCCTGGTATTGATAAGTATATTCCAAGTGGTTTGCTATACACATACACATGTTCACACCGAGCATGAACATGTATTCAAGTCACCATTTGTAATTGGATCTGACTTCCTTTCTTGAGCTGTAAATAAACATGGTTTTAGGTAGCACTGCTTTCAAATGAAAAAGGCGCAATCCGAATGGAACCGGGTGGACAGTACTGTGTTTGATACATCATCGATGCGCCTTGTGGTTGTACCCTGGGGAACACAACTTTTGTCGAGTTAGGTCTGACATCTGTTTTGAATTAATTTTGGGGGGGGCAGAATCCAAAACCGATCTGAGTTAAAACTTTTTTTTTTTTTTAATCACATCGTTTTTGAGGTGTAGGATGCCAATTTTCATAAAAAAACAGGAAAGAAATGTGTATGTATGCACGTAAAGAATACTTAAAGCTGGAATAGTTACAAACTTTGTAACCTAAAAGCATGAAATGAAATACAACTCAAAACGGTCAGAGTGCCCATGGAGAAAAAGGTAAAACGAAAAGGCATCACCTATCACCTATCCTCTTAATTCATACTATTCTAGCATTCTGTTTTCAGATGGCGATAATACTGAACTAGTGGGGGCTGCACACTGCACTGTCTCAATTGTGACTGCGCAAACACGTTGCCACACAGCAGTAGATGAGTTCAATCACAATCAGCTCTTCTTATTATGGTCTTACTACAGCTAATCAGTGAAATTTGTTTATCAGGAGAGTAAGCTGTGGAGAAAAACTTGATGTGCTAGAAAAAAAAAACGCTGCAATTTTGGAATCAGCGTGTCTATTTTAGTTTTAATTAGCATAAAAACTCAACAGTTTTTTTTTTTGTTTTTGTTTTTTTTAAGTGTTCCCCAGTGTAATATGATGAATCTTAGAGGCCAGGTCGCATACATTAAAGTGGGGTGAATGCACAAAAACAATGATAGGAACTTGCTATATAGAAAAGAAATGCACTTGTTATGGACCAAAACACATTTAATTGAATGCACAGAGACACAACTCAAGACAAAAATTGGCTTCCATGTCATCTCCGCCTCCTGTTTTGACATTAGTTTTGAGCCTCATCTCATCTTTAAAAATTAGGTGAGATTTGAGTTATTTGTCTTCATATATTATTTCACCTATGATATATTTACAGTCTTAATTCCATTTTTTTGTCATACTCCAGTGCAACAAATTAATCTTTGCCATACAATATGAAGACAATAAATAAAAATAAAAAATAAAAGATAAACGCACATTTTAATCTTACATATTTTAATAATAATAAAAGATAAATTGGCTTCGTGTGGCACATTCTCCTTTAGCGGAAAGAAAAAAAATACACACACACACACACACACACACACACACACACACACACACACACACACACACACACACACACACACACATATATATATATATATAAAGATCAAGTACGCTACGCTTTCAAAAGAGCTGCTAATGCAGCAGCAGAAAATGTGTCGCCTTCCCCTTCCAATGGAAAGTCATTCTGCAAAGACTTTTGAGGATACACTCTCTGCATGCAATTATATGTGTACATGCATCCTTTCCATATGGAACCGAAAATGAGAATGATAACATAATAGCATGATGACGGTGATCTAAGGCAGCGTCATGTATTGCAACACAAGAGAGCAATTTGTGTTGCATTGCTTTTCAGCTCTTAAAATGCCAGTATATTTAATTGAGAGAAAATTACATCAGCGCATAAAATTCACATGTGGTAGCCAGTAGACCCCTTCATAATAGTTTAAACATTACACAGATGTTTCACCATTATACATTCACCAAAATATAGATACAACATTGGAAAATTGATTTCCATCGAATGAAACTGGTTTAAATTCATACATAATTCTTCACTTTTTTTTTTCTTTTAAGGCATTGATACTGAGAGGGTGATGTTATAGAGTACCACAAATGTGCATCCATTGCACCGAAGACACACACAACAGAGGCATCAACATTAAAAGTACAGAGACACTAACACAGTCACACTTTACCAAACATGACTTGAGTTGGATTCAACCATCATCAGTTCGATCCGCATGTCTTAAGTCTCAAAAATTTTATTTTTATTTTTTTTTAATCTCAAAGCTCCGAAAACCAAAGTTCCTTTAAACTTTAAACTCATTGGTTAAAAGCAACAGTCTTGCTTCACAGTGCACATTCGCAAAAGACTCAGACATCAGTTTCTGCTCCTTCCGTAGGATAAGAGTGGCACTGTGCCCTCTCCTCCAGACACACGTCCTCCAAGGTGGTGCTGGCGAGGTCTCGCTGGCACAGGAAGGAGAGGTGAAAGGCATTTTTGTTGACTTTCCCCATCTCGTCGCTGTAGGACATGACCAACTGGTGGTTTTCATCAGGTGCGGTAGAGCTGGATGAGCCTCTGTCAGCTTTTTTGTGTTGCAGTGTACCCATTGAGCCCCCACTGGGGTCACTGGTGTTGTTGTCAAGGAGATCAGGCAGGTTTCCTGTTGCGATGCTACCGCTTTTAATGTGTGGCGTCTGGCTATGGGTGTGTCGGTACTCTTCGTCAATGTCCTTACCCAGCTTCCACCGCTTCCACTTTTTCAGCATTTCTGACTGCACCTGGGAGATAATGGGATTGTGGATAGCCGCCGGCAGAGAGCCATATCAATAAGATGCGAGAGATTAATAAAGACTGTCATGTGGATGGATGTCTCTCGAGCCAAAGGGTATATTTTAAAGTTTAGTGATCAGTAGAATGCCAATATGCATGTAGTAGAGAAAGCGGAAGTAGAACAAAGCTTTCAGAGATGGAACCCCCCGCCCCCCCCCAAAAAGCACAAAGACTGTGATAATGACACCCTTGTTATTCAGCTGCACCTCAGGCCCTCAAAATCTAATCATTCCCCTCACCTCTTTGTTGACAAAGCAGTACAAGATGGCAACGAGCAGCCCCTGCAGAGGAACGTAGAGATGGAGAGAGTGGGAAAACATGTTTTTGCCTTTGGATTGTTCTACAAATAAGTTAAATGCAGTATTTTTCTGAATCCGTTTAACATAAGGCTACACTTTCAGGAGACCTTCACTTCCCATCTTGATTGGCAAAACCATAGAATATCCTTGTTCAAATGTAATCTTATACTGTATATTGGAGCGACGTATTTACTTGGCGGCACAAGAAGCGGGCCATGAAGCATGTGTACTACTTTGTACTTCGTACCTGGAAGGAGTTGAACAGGAGGTCACAGAAGAGCCGCATCAGCCGTAAAATGGAACCTTTTGGGACGGACTCGTCGATGACAAAGGTGAAGAGAATGGCGTGAATCCCCAGCAGAGGGATAAGAGTCAGAGTGGATTTTGCTAATCTGGACCAACATACAAACATAGACATTGGAGGATGACTAATCCTAATGGACGACAAGCAGAACAGTAAACCCCACTGCATTGTGGGTTCCGGGTTCGCAATCCCACTATTTCGCAGATTTGTTTCAGTACAGTTGGAGCTATTTTATTGTGAGCCGCATTCATTTTGGGTGTAATTCCACTGTTGGCCACAAGAAGGAACACTATTGTGTGTGTGTGTGTGGGGGGGGAGAATCAGTCATAACAGTCGTCCAAAGGAAACTGTTGTCGCCCGCGACAAAAACGGGTTTGACACCCCTGGTCTGGATTGGTAGCGAGCGGCTCGCCAGGGGCACAGACTGAGATAGAAGTTTGTGTGTATTTTTGAATGCATGAAACAAAAACAAACAAAAAAAAGTTCTCTCACCTGATCTTGTAGTCTGTGTATCTCATCTGATGAGCTCTGAGTTTAGACATCAAGATTTTGATGATTCGTATAAATATGAAAAAATTAATCTGTAATGTGAGGAGACAGTAAACGTAACTGGGTTACTTTGATTTTATAACACTTACTCCCAGTGCTTCCTGCCAGACTTTGTCCAGCCCCACACACATGCAAGAAAGCGAGTAAACAGATGAACCCCTCTCTCTCACACACACACACACACACACACACACACACACACACACACACACAATGTTTTTATAGAGAAAAGGGCAAAAACACATTCACTCAAATGCTTAACATCACTGAAATCTCAAGTGAACCCTTACATGCGTGACAACACCACATTTCGCTCAAATGTGCTAAAAGAAACAATACATCGACTCAACATTATTTGTGTGCATACTGAGACTGACACAAACACCAACAGACGCTTGAGACAAGTGGAAAGCTAATAACGTGTTCTATCAATTGATGTGCCGTGTCATCAGAGGGGGAGAGGGGGTTCTGGACTAGATCTCAGATGTGTGTGTGTGTGTGTGTGTGTGTGTGTGTGTGTGTGTGTGTGTGTGTGTTTATGATGCCGTGTATAGACTTATTTTGTTACATTTCTTGATGTAAAGTGTATTGTTGTCTTCTGTTCACAAAATAATGACAGTATATGCATGCCTATTTGTTATAATAACATTACAGGGTGGCTTGATTTGCAAAACTTTTCCAATCTCTTATCTTTTAAATATTGCTACACGGCAGTAATCAGGTGCCTTTTACACCTGTTCCTCGACTCGGAAATGAATGAGAACCCATATTATCAATGTTTGGAGACCATACTACACAATCCTGAATCAAAGTAAGCATTTGCAAGCTGATTCTTAGCAGTGGAGATGACGCAGTACTGCCACATCTACTTGATCCACACAAAGAACAATTCCCACTCAGAAAGAGACAGAGAGGATGGACTTACCAGATAAGCAACCAATATTGGGGAGCGGATGATCCACCAGTATCCCATGTTAATATTTCTCTCCCAGCACCTACACACACGCGCACACACTCACTGTACCGGGTGTCTCAATAAGAGGAGCCGTGCATGTAAGAAATGAATGTATCTCCTTAAAGATCATAGATAGAGATGGGGACAGTCACAGTGAAAACGATCACTTACTCTTCATTCTCATAGAGGTACTTCATTGTGATCCAGGGTGAAACAAACACAAGTGGGGCGCCTGAGAATGTAGGAGAAATGCAAGGGCTGAGGGTCACTCCCGATGGAGAAAAAACATTCGAGAAGGTTGACGTGTTGGTATAATAACGGAGATGTCATCATTTTGCCCCATGTGACAACATGAAGAGCTTTGTCCTTACTGTTCCAACTTGTCATTCGCAACAATATAAAACAATTGATAGTCCAGTTAGCATGATGATGACTCTAAGGCCAAATTGCACCAACAAGGTTTCACTTTAAAACTACCCTGTAGATTGAATCGTGGTTTAAGTATAAATTCTGTTGCACCATAACTTTAAACTCCAGTACAAACTGTGATCAAGAACTAATTTTAAACTAACAGTTGGGATGGTTTAACTATTACACTGGCTACATTTTTTTAGGTGTATGAAGAGCAAAAATAATGAAGTTTCTTGAAGAAAATTGATAGGCTCAATCTTCTAGAATTTAATGATGAAAAGGAATTTTGGGTGGGGTACTGGTTTATTAAACAGTTTTGGAGCTGAACAGGGAGACTGCATCAACTGTAATAAATGGCACTGACAGAAATGCATCTGTACCACCACAACTGCGCCTTTTGGGTTTTTTTGTTTTTTCCAGAAAGCTTTAATTGATCTTTTCTCTTTTCTCTTTCACTCTGGTCAATCGGCTAGAACTGTCAAGCAGTTGCGGCCACACAGTATCTTTCTTTTTCACCATGCTGTTGTCTGTTTTCTTGTCTTCTATTTGCTCCATTAATTCAGTCAGCAAGTTGTTGACAAACAAGGAAAAGTTTTTGCTTCTCTGCCGAACCATTTTGACATAGCTGACAAGTTAACAAGTAATGTTAGTCTAACAAATTTGCTAGCTAGCAACAATTTAAGTAAGTCCATATGTCACTGAGTGGCGAAGGTCCGTGTGTGTGCGTGTGTGTGTGTGTGTTTGTGTGTGTGTGTGTGTGTGTGCGTGCGTGCGTGCGTGCGGCGTGCGTGCGTGCGCGTGCGTGCGTGCGTGCGTGCGTGCGTGCGTGCGTGCGTGCGTGTGTGTGTGTGTGTGTGTGTGTGTGAGAGATAAGGGCTTTCATGTTACACTAAACAACAGTGCAGCCTCTTGATTTAATTGCACAATTAATGATTTATTTTAATTTCAATAACAATCATCCGTTTCAATGAAATGGAACTCAGTTCAAGTGAATTTTTACGAAACTGAGATTCATTTTAAATGGTGCAACAGAGCTCTGCTTAATTTTAAAACCAGATGAACTCATTTTAAACTTGGTTTTACTCCTCTCTTATGAGAGCTCGTTTTAGATCTAATGAAACCTTGTTGGTGCAACCCAGACGAAGTGAAAGTCTTTATTATTTGACAATGCCAGAAGCTCCTATTTACCCCAACCGATGGCCATGTAAATGTAAAAGTACTTCTTCTCACTGAACACAGTGATGACGAGCAGACTGTGCAGGTAGATGCCCTCCACCAGCAGCCAATAGTTGTTGGCCATCACAGTGTAATGCATCGTCACCATAGCGCCCCGACACCACATCACAGCCTGCACAGCAGTGGGGGGGGACAAATGAGATAAGACCTGCATCGGCTTACGTCACTTTCATTTTGCTCTGACTCATTTATTGTAACTATTTGGCTCACGTTCATGGTCATGTGACTGTGGTCTCAAGAGCATGTGTGTGCGCCAGCGTGTATATGTGAGTGGGGGGTGGTGATGCGGTGGTGTGTGTCCATCATTGTTATACTGCTCATTGAAGTCACGAAATAAGAGCAAAAATACATCATAAATTCATATTGACATAAAATTGCAACGGGGAAAAACTGTGGTTCTGTCATTGCTATGGAAACCCCTGTTCACCGACTTTTTTGGTCTAAACTAGGGTTGCTGTTAAAACTAATAATGTATGTAAGATAAATGTGTGTGTCCGTACACATGGCAAAAATAGTTTATACCACTGGTCAAAGCTGATCTTTTTTTAACTGTTTGAAGGTCATTGTCTTTTCCATTGCAGGCTTCAATGAAGACGGTCATCGTTCAGGCAACAGTTTATTGTTAAGAGTTTTTCAAAATTACTTTTTATTAATGCTTATTGTTGTAAATTCAGGTATGTTGTGATCTTCGATATTCGTGAGCACAGAGACCGAAAGTGAATGTAATATCCTTGTCATTTAATTAAATTAGCTGAATTGCTTGCACATGACACCAAATTCTTGTGCAGGCTGTTGCGATGCATGTTCTCTAACCGGTATGTTGATCCAAGTTTGAACCTTTGTTTCACCACTGCTCCTGGGGTCCAGTGTAAGGGTCAGCAGGGCATCTTTAACCAGAATGGACACAGCTCTCAGGATGAAGGAGCCAAACAAGTTCATGTGGATGTTGTTCCGCATGCAGTGTAGCTTCCTGGTGAAGAGTTGACACTGGGTGATGGGGTCTGACACAGACTGCCAAGCTCACTACCCCTGTCCTGTCCTTCTGTTTTTATTGCAACCCTTACTTATGGGGTGCAGCACCACTTTTACAGTCCTCATAAAAATACAGATATAACCCGATGTAATGTTTTTGTAGTGTTATACAGTTTCATACTGCCGTTGTTCTTCCTCGACTTAAGTATTTTTTGTCTGTTTATGTCTGTTTCCTTTCAAATATTATTCTGGTCGACTGCATTTTCCCTAAAGTATCAATCACAACAATAACCACAGATGGAGTACATGAAATTCCCCTGTTGCACAAAAAAAAAAAAAAACATTGACCTTCAATCTTGATTGACCAAGCAACCAAACAAGGCAGGTAAAAAAACAAAACAAAACAAAACAAAACAGGAATTAACTATTAGATGGTCAGATTCATCAATAAGAGCTATTTATTTCAATGTTTTTTTTCATTGACATGTCTACCATCCTTGGTTTTCATTCTGTAATATACGGTAGTTTCGTTGTTTCCTAGCTTTCTGGAAGACTTAGAACCTTAACCACCAAAAAAAATGGTGTGTTGAATTTATTCAATTTTATTTCGTCAACTGGTTGCACACAGTAAAATCATTTGGATCCAGATATATTGTTTAACCAGATGATACATCAACATACAAAAAAATAATCTAAATCCAGATGATTTTGTTGTGTGCAGCCACTTGACAAAATAAAACTGATTGCATTCAACACACCATTTTTTTTGTTTTTTATTGTTTACATTATTCCACCCTTTTCATTCTCTGACTATTATTTCCTTCTACAGTTTTTTATTCCAGTGGATGAGTTACCTGAAGCTGATGAGGATTCCCAAGGCCAGTAGCAGAGCTCCGAGAGACAGCGAGTATCCCACCGTATACATAATTCGAAACTGACTGAGGATGTGGCCATACAGCTGCTGCAAACATAGCAGAGGTGGTGTTTTACCATCAGGCAAAGCTTTTTCATGGCATGCATAGACATGCGAGATGGAAAAGAGTTACATGAACAGATGAGAAACATTCGACACAATGACTTAATATGATGTCGAACCAGTCCTCACATTAGCTGCTCATCTACACTGCCAAAAATGGGATGTTGAATTTTCTCTTTTATTTCATCAAGTCATTGCACAAAATAAAATCATCTGTATACAGATACATTTTTAAGATACATCCTCTTATAAATGTATCAATGTCTAGATGATTCCATTTTGTGCAGTCACTTGGCAAAATAAAATTGAGTAAATTCACCACACCATTTTTCTCAGTGTACAGTTTAAAGCTGCCTTAAAAATGAAAAGAGATCAATAAGTCACACACTGGCATGAAGCATTTGTAACATTGATGTACACACACACACACACACACACACACACACACACACACACACACACACACACACACACACACACACACACACACACACACCTGGCCAGGGTCATCCTCACATTCACTGGTATTTTTCTGGGCCCATCTACCATCTTTGCCACAGGATCTGTAGACCAAACCCTGCTGGACTGTTCAAATAGGCACATACAAAGGAGGACATACAATTATGGACAAATCAAACCATTCAGCTCAAGATGGGCAAATCTTGGTGTGGTTGAGCAGTTGACTAATTGGAGAGGATATCCAGAAACACTTTTAATTTTACCATCCCTTTGTAAAAGAGTTAAAAATACACAGTCATCTTTGTAAATTTGCATGGAACAGTCCATCCATTCTCTTACAGGTCAGGTCGCAGGGGCAGGAGCGTAAGCATGGAAGCCCACACTTCCTTCTCACCTAAAACATCATCCAGCTCCTCCTGGGGAATCCCGAAGCATTCCCAAGCTAGTTGAGAAACATAGTCTCTCCAGCGTGTTCTTGGTCGGGGCCTTCTCCCAGTGTGACATGCAGGGAACACCTCACCAGGGAGATGTAAAGATGGCATCCTGACAAGATGCCCGAGCCACCACATCTAGCTAATCTCAATCCAGAGGAGCAGCGGCTCAACTCTGAGCCCCTCCCAGATGACCAAGCTTCTCACCTCATCTCTAAGGGAGAGCCCAGACACCCTGCAGAGGAAACTCATTTTGGCCGCTTTTATCCAGGATCTTATTCTTTCGGTCATGATCCAAAGCTTGTGAACGTAGGTGAGATTAGGAATGTTGCTCGACCAGTAAATCGAAAGCTTTACCTTCCGGCTCAACTCCCTCTTCACCACGCCGCACCAATACAGAGTCTGCAACATCGCAAACACTGCACCAGTGTGCCTGTCAATCTCCTGCTCCATCCTCCCCTCTTTTGTGAACACGCCCCCAACATACTTCAAATCCTGCATTTGGGCAGGATCTCATCCCTGACTTAAAAAAGACGTCACTCCACCCTTTTCTGACTGAAGACCATGGTCTCAGATTTGGAGGTGCTGATTTTCATCCCAACTGCCTCACCCTCGGCTGCAAACCTCTCCAGTGAGGGTTGAAAATTGTGGCTTGAAGAAGCCAACAGTACCACATCATCTGCAAAAAGCAGAAATGTAATTCTGAGAACACCAAAGTCGAGGTGCACGCACCAAGGTGCGAGGTGCAGACCAATCTCTGACACCGGTCATCCAGGGATCGAACTGCACGCACTTGGGCATCTGATGCATCATCCTCCAAGTTAAAAAACCTTCTCCAAGTCCACAAAACCACATGTAGACTGGTTGAGCGAACTCCCACGCACCCTCGAGTGCCCTGCCAAGGGTGGAGAGCTGCTCCGCTGTTCCACGGCCAGGATGAAAACCGCACTGCTCCTCCTGAATCTGAGATTCAAATTCCTGATGGACCCTCCCCTCCAGCACCCTAAATAGACTTTACCAGGGAGGCTGAGAAGTGTGATCCCCCCATAGTTGGAACACACCCTCCGGTAGCCCTTCTTTAAAAGGAGAACCACCACTGCCAATCCAGAGGCACTGTCCCTGTTGCAGAGGCGTGTCAACCAGGACACCCCGACAACCAGAAAATAGGGCCCCTTGCAGGCCTGTCAATGCCTTGGAATCCTCCCATGAGAACCGGACAAAATGGCTGAGGGGGGAGAAGTCTGATCCTCTCTGCTAAAGCTGCTGCCCCACAACCTGACCCCAGATAAATGAAGGACAATGGTTGGATGAATATTATTATCAACCCAAATGAATTATGCAAAAGTATAAAATGAAATGAAAAGTCTCGGGGGGAGGGTGTTTGTGTCAGGATAAAACATCATTCTAGTTCGAAAGTGGCCAGCTTTGACACAAAAGACTGACTGGAAGTATATTCGAAAGACTGTCTTGAATCCAGTCGGTTTATTTAGTCTCTTGTGACTTTCTTGTTTCCATTGTGTGCTTTAAATTGCTTTTTAAACCAAGGTTAATTCTAAGTACGTGGTTCATGTTGATGCAAATCAACAGCAATTGTTTTGGTTCTTTTCGCTGTCTTCGTTATTGTCCAGCTTCACCTTTGAGCACAAACACGGCACACACTCGCACATTTCTTTTGATGACATGCAGGAACACAAGCGTATAGGCTGACCTTTATAATGCCAAGGTAAGAACCAAGGGCAAGATACATTCACTGTGGTTCCAGGGAGTCCATCAGGCCAGCAGGCATACTGGTCAAATGTCCTGTTACATACCGCCCCTGCTGGGGCAATAGCATGTTGATTCACAAGAGCAGTTCTTGCATTTGTCTGCATACTTCTCAAAGCAGTGAGAGAGGAGGGCTCACCTGTTGTGGGGGGTAGAGAGCTCAAAAAGTCTAAACACTGATTCTTGTAGTTGCTCCACTGCTCCTTCACACGCTTCGGGGATGTGGTCGAAGACACCTGTGGCAGGAGCTCATGTCCTGGCGCTCGCTTGAGTGTGATTGTGGAGATCGGAGTCAAGATGGAGGACGTACCTTTGAGCAGTTGCAGAGCATGAGCAAGGCCAAGAGGAAAGCCACCTGGGACATCCCACTGAAGCTGGGAGGATGAGGGAAAGCGGGGACCAAGAACACAGAGGAGGGAGCCCAACACATGAGGCACTCCTGGCCCGATGTCACCGTCGGGCCTGCACATATGACGGGAGGGTGTTGTGAGAAAGCAGAGACGGGAAATCATGATATCATAATATATAATAACAAATAACAGTGGTCAACAGTAATTTTCAATCAGAGATAGTTTTAGTTGCCCCTCAACGTATTTTTGATGTGGATTAAAAAAATGTATCGACTATTTTTCTAGCACATCAGGTTGTTGAGATGTTTTAATTTTTTGTTTTCAAGTTTATCCTATAAACGCTCATGCGATACAGATCTTACCATGTGGTGTAATTTATAGCCATTTAAAACAGCCTACTCAGGACATGATGGATGCACGGAGTTTTGTGAATACTATGAGAAATCAACTCCAGACAAAAGAAGGAAAACATTTTTTTTTTTTGTGTGCAGTTTTTTTTTTCTCCATTGTGCCCAGTTATCAAAATGGCTGTTGTATAAAATTGACATAAGTGAACTTCTCAGTCTGTACATTTTCACTTTTGCCTAAATAAAGGACTTTAATCAGTAATTCTACTTGAACTATCAGTATATGTACCGGTACTTAAGTGCAGAGTGAGTACTTTTGCCATCTCTATTAGAGATTGTGTGTATGTGTGTGCGCATGTGTGTTTATGTGCTTGTGTGTTTACATGTACAGTACATGTGGACTAATGCTGCACACAATGGGAATAAGCTGCCAAAAGAAGTGAATTCAGGCCCAAGTGTAAATGCCCATGGTTAAAAACTGTGCTCTTTTCCAGAATTATGATTAAGGTCTTTCGAAGTATTTTGAAAATCATGCTCTTCAAAACGGTGGTAGGCTGGTTAGAGCGCCGGCCTCACAGTGCAGAAGTACAGTGTTCGATTCCGGCCTTCCTGTGTGGAGTTCGCATGTCTTCCCCGTGCCTTCGTGGGTTTTCTCCGAGTACTCCGGTTTCCTCCCATATTCCAAAAACATACGTGGCAGGTTAATGGAACATTCTAAATTGTCCCTAAGTATGAGTATGAGTGCGGATGGTTGTTTGCCTATGTGTGCCGCGCGATTGGCTGGCAACCGGTTCAGGGTGTCCCGCGCCTACTGCCCAAAGACAGCTGGGACAGGCTCCAGCACGCCTGTGACCCTCGTGAGGATGAGCAGATTAGAATATGGATGGATTTTTTTCAAAATCATATTATTGCACTGTACGTTCTGTTGGAAATTTTAGTGAGCTACTTTCACTTCTTGACTTTCCTTTTCAATGAATTAAACTCTTTTGTTTGAAAATGGGTGGCCCGGTAACAAGTGATTAGCGCGTCGACCTCACAGTGCAGAGGTACCGGGTTCGATTCCAGCTCTGGCCTTCCGATGTGGAGTTTGCATGTTCTCCCCGTGCCATCGTGGCTTTTCTCCGGGTACTCCGGTTTCCTCCCACATTCCAGAAACATGCATGGCAGGCTGATTGAACACTCAAAATTGTCCCTAGGTGTGAGTGTGTGCGCGGATGGTTGTTTGTCTCTGTGTGCCCTGCGATTGGCTGGCAACTGTCTCAGGGTGTCCCCCGCCTACTGCTCGAAGGCAGCTGGGATAGGCTCCAGCATGCCCCGCGACCCTGGTGAGGATAAAGCGGATCAGAAAATGGATGGATGGATGTTTAAAAATGCTTTCAAGAGTTATACTTCTAATTATGTGAAGCGCATTGAGTTACTTGTACCTTCTGTATGAAATTTGCTACTTCAACAAAGCGTCCTTGCCTTGTCTAAGACCATGTGACCCTCAGATTTTTGTGTACTTTTTCCTTTACTAACTCAAGCAATCACTTGAGAACTTTATTTGAAACTCATTCTATGCCGGTGTGAGTTTCCTTACTTTCAACACACAGCCAAGAGTTTCAAAAGGTTTCTTTTTTCCTCACGCTGGTATGCTACTAGCCAAGGTTCACATTTGGTTATGCTGCTGCATCTCGTTCACTACTTTCTACTTTGCAAGACCCACTTGACTCATGTCTTTGTTCCTCTGAGTTCAATTAGTCTTTCAGTGCTACCAAGGATGGCTACCAGGAGGCACGGCAAAAAAAAAAAAAGAACCTTAATATTCAGGTTTTACACGAAACAACACATCCTCGATCTCCTCGAATGACATACAGTATTCTTCATGCAAATCTTTCCATGGCTCCAGCTATCCTGTGTGGACTTGTTCATCGTCCATGGACTCTGGGTACACTGAAAAAGAAAATGGTGTCCCGAATTTACTCATTTTTATTTTGTCAAGTGGTTGCACAAAATAAAAATATTCTGGATCCAGATACATTTTTTTTTTTTTTTGCCTCGAAATCAGGGGTGTCCAAGTCCAGTCCTCAAAATCTAGCCAATTTTATACATCTCCCTCCTCCGATACACCTGACTGAAATGATCAGACGGAGAACCATCCTGATCATTTGAATTGGGTGTGCTGGAGGAAGGAAACATCTAAAACAGGCTGCATAGGGGCCCCCGAGGACCGGATTTGGGCACCCCTGCTGTTAATTGTACATAGTCATGAATGTCAGTGTGAAAGATTGCTTATCTTCTGCATCCTGTGATTGGCTGACAACCACTCCAAGTTGGACCTCCCCCCGTCGCTTGCATCAAGTTAGCTGGGATAGGCCCCAGCTCGCCAGTGATCAAAATGGGAATAGACGGTACAAAACACCAAACACTTGCCTCATACCTGAATCTCAATTAATTTAAGTCCAGGATGAGGCCATGAGGACGTCCCACACCACTTAAGTGCCTTACTACAGCGATGTCTCTTAAGACTTGAGACTTGGCATTATTTTTAAGGCTTCCATTGAGCATCTCCACGTATGAAGTTGGAGAACAAAACGGAATCTGAAACGTTTCTGCAAAAAACAATTTATGTGTGGACATTTTTGGCTAAAACATTTCAAATTCCATTCTGTTCCAATGCATTTGTCTTCAGCTTTGTTTGCCCAAACCTGACAGTGAGTCACACATCGATATGTTAGCATCACAACATATACAGTAGTTGTCACCTTAACTTGAAAACATTCTCAAGGCAACCATTGCTGTGGTATTATCTTGCTCTGCTTCGAAACAACGTGCAGCTGTTATAGAGGCAAATAACAATGACAGATCTTTACAATTTACATTTCCAGAAGTAAGGGAACACAAAAGCATAAACTAGAAGATGGAGTCATAAGGGGGTTAGGAATAAAGGTAACAAAAATGTTATTTAGTCATATTGCTATGGTGACAAATGACCATGGCTTTTCAATCACTATTTTAAAACCGAAATGAAACATTACCCAAATATCATCTTTCCAAACGGCAAACAATAACGTTACATTAGATGTTTCTTTTTCTCAAAAGTAATTTAAGAAAGTCATCATATTCATTCGGGGTATTGTTTCTCTTTCAACCTGGGGCTTGCAACATCTTTTCAAATACAGTGCAAATTGCATATCTATCTATTTATCTTGATAGATAGACAGAGAGAGAGAGAGAGAGAGAGAGAGAGAGAGAGAGAGAGAGAGAGAGAGAGAGAGAGAAATGTCATAAGAGTGTGTGTCCTGTCTGTCATGCATTGCTGAACACAGTCACACGTGTGACAACTGCAAACATGAGGGATACTTGTTATTATACTGTGTATCTGTTCAGTGTGTGTGTGTGTGTGTGTGTGTGTGTGTGTGTTATTTCTTCATACATGACAGTACATGTGTTGTTTAATAAGACAATTATGGTACCCAGGTGAAAACACACGTAAGATGCTAGACAAAAACTCAAAACGTGTATATTGCACAATGACACTGGAAACCCCTTTTTTTTTTCCTCATGTTTTCAGATTCATTGTCTGAGTGCAGGTCTGGATGTAAAATAAGAAACAGTAGACATAGAGAAAAACAAACAATAAAACAAATAAGTTCACCGCAAGAAATATTCAGCCGGAAAGAAACGCTACTTATTTATGTCACAATTTTGATAAAATTGCATCTTTATGACCATGGTGGTTATTTTTTCATTACTGGTTGTTTGCTTAGTTGAATGGCAGCCCAACTGCAGAAACATAAAATGATACGAGCTGCGTCACAAAGGTTCTCGGGCTGGTGTCACAAAAGAAATACTTCAAACTCAAATGACAAATTTCAAGGGTTCCCCCCCCCCTTCAATGTCATTGCCTTGGAGTATATAATGTAACTGTGACATTGGCTCTCTGCAGCCACTGTACTTTTTTTCCACATGCTCATATACATACACTCTGTGTCAGGCCATCATGCAATAAACAGAGAGAGTGATGATGATACCAAAAAGATCAGACTTGTGAAGGACTAACATCACCGCAAATGAGTTACAGAACTTCAAGTAAACCCAGGAAACAAAACCCAACATGACCTTCTGACTATCAATGGACTTGCTGAGGAGACGGTAGGCAGCACCAACTTACTAGAACTGCACATCACCGGGAACTTCTCCTGGACCAACAACACCTCATCACCGGCTATGAAAATCTCACCAGCATAAGTAAAACATGAACTGGGCGTCATGAAGGGGTAAGTGATAACTCAGAAGATATAATGTCTAACCTGTCAAATCCCATCCATGTGCACTTGATGTACAGTCTGTACTCACATACTTGCACACAGTAGATTATGCAGTCAGAAATAGGATAAATTCGTCAGATGGCAGTAAAGGGCAACGCTTTTGAAGAAATGTCCCACATGACTCCATCCGTACAGATTGCATTTGACACCTGTCTCTCGTCATCCTCACGCTTAGTCACTGACAACCTGTCAACCAAGCACAGTAAATAGCAGGGGTGTCAAACCTTTTTTTGACCGAATATCTACTTTTCAAGCAGCCAACCTACCGCGATTGACCCGTTACTGTACATGCATGCATACACACACATGCACGCATACACGCATCCCAGTATGAGCAACAGCCATAACAGACCCTAACGTGAACGAAACATAAAAGTAAACTTGATACAAGACACGACTGAGTGTATGAAAAGGACATCAGTTCCTAACGGGAGACCTGACACAGGGAGGCAGGGACGTGTAGCGTGTTGAGTGCCAAAACATTACAATCGAACTCGCGTTTATCGTTTTAAAATGCTGTTCCTGGGGCTCGAAATTCCCATTCTTTGACAATCTGTGAATCGCACATCAAACATCAACTTTGAATGAGAATTTTAAAAAACAAGCAAAAAAAAAAAAACAATAGATATATCACAACGGTTCTGATCGCCAGCTGCAACTGTTGACCGCTAACAACTTCTTGTAATGTAGGTCATGAACTGCACTTTTTAATTTTTTTAACTTTTGAATCTGAAACGGATAGGATAGGATTCGTAGGGTGCAGTGTGAAGGAAAACAAAAAAAAAATCACTAACAGATATCACTAACATATATAGACAGACACAAATAATCATGTTTATGTTTTCCATTTTCTCCCGACCCCCCCGCCGGCAACTTGGGACCAATCTTCAGACTACTGGTCAACCACAATCAAACATGTCCAGAATTTTTTTGCGACAATCAAAATGTCCTAAAGTGTCAAGAAATGTATAATTTTGTCCATCTTTTTCGTGTGTCTTGATCTTTTTCTGCTGGGACAGTGTGACGAATGAAAGGAGGTTTACAATGCTTTGTAATGATGTTTTTTTTTACACCAACGTTCAAGCCTCTAAATTCTGTTTGTTGTTTGGTAGCTTGTCTTTTTTTCACCTCGTTTCTCACATATGTGCAGAGGAGAGCTGCAAAAGGCTTATACTCACATGTACAGTACATGTTCATTATCCTCTGCAAAGAACAACTCATATTACTGCAGCTTCCTGAGTCACTAACAGTAGCTGTGCAAGTCTTCTTCTTCATTTATGTCTCCCTAACCGTATAATACTGCCGCCCTGGTGGTCAATTCCTGCATAAGCCAAGATGAATACATTCAACATGATTGTAAATTATTTAAATTCTGGTTAATCATGTTATTACTATCTATGTTTATAAAGTAAAATATAGTGGTTTTTTCATGATTAAAAAACAAATGACAAAAAACTTGGCCTTTCCATTAATTTCAATAGGGAAAGATGATTTCAGATCTTATGCCCCACCGGAGCTATACAGAATTGTTAAATGTACGCTTCAAGTGTGTGAGAGCATGTTGAGGGTTCAAGAATGAGGTGATTTGAGAAGCAGCCGTTCGAAAAATGGCAAGAGCTGAGAGATCTAGTGGATGAGAGAGAGAGAGAGAGAGAGAGAGAGAGAGAGAGAGAGAGAGAGAGAGATGGTTCATTGAGAGCAAGGCGGCATGGTGAATAATGCCATTACTCATCAGGCAAGTGAGCATTATCACCATTATAGAGTGAGCAGCAAAGATGAGAGATTTGGATGCAAGAGAAGTGAAGTGAGAGATGACGCAGGTACGTCATGAATGTGACAGAGTTATTCCAGTTTTTCCATTTCATTGGCAGGCAGAGATGTTGGCGAGCAGCACGAAGATTAGATTGGTTTGGATTAGAGGCAAACAAACAAACGTGTCACGCATGCACAAACATCATAAGACATTAGCATGCACGGCCTTGACTACCGGTACATTATAAAAGAATATGTGTCTTTATGGGAGAGTGCTGCAGTATATGAAAGCAGTGTTTGCCAACCAAGGGGTATGCGTACTCCTTGGGGTACGTGAGTACATTTCAGGGGGGGACGTGGAAACCTTTAATAATTAATTTTCCAGTTCAATTACCTGCGGCACAGTTCAGCCAAAACCACAACAGTCATGTGTCAACTCAAGTGTATCATTAGAGCTCAGATGACTGATGAACAGAAAGTAAAATATGGTCCAAAATGCCAAATAAATAAGAGATGTTCCGGGCTTCCACTGCATTTACATTTGGAATTGTGTTAAGTGCAACAGTCCGATCACAACTTTCATGGCATTATGGGGACGTTACCTCCTGCCAAGTCCATTGTAAATGAGAACGTGTGAAGAATTAACATTCTGCAAGCAAGAAACTGGTTTTCTCTTGCTCTTTGCTACATGGCTACCGGCAAGCATGACTTCCTCCTTCCTGTGGTCATTTACAGCTTTATTTAGCCACGTTGGCGACATCAGCGTTGGACTAGTAGGACATTTATTAATGTGATTTTACCATGAATGGACACTCATGTGTGGGTGTGTGTGTGTGTGTGTGTATGTGGGTGCCCGTGTCTGTGCATACATGCATACACGTGCGTGCGAGAGCGACACAGCATGCGTCAGCGCCCAGTCTCAGTCTGTGTTGATTAAATAAACAATTGTGTTTGTAGCACAGACCTCTCACCATGCATGCATAGAACACACACACAAAGCACGGCACGCCTCTTTACTGGGCTTTGCTTTCAGGTGTCACTTTTAATTTTCCCCCAAAAGTCTTTTTTTTTTTTCTAAAGGAAAATAATGAGGAAAAGGAAGGAATTGAACCTATAGTACTGCATTTGCAACCAGTTTATTCATACATCCATTCAGTCTCTGCGCCTTTTATCCTGTTCATGAACCATGCCATGAACTGGTTACTAGTCAGTCAGAGGGCACATAAAGAGAGAGACCACCTTTCAGACTCACATTCAAACCATCACTGAGTGGGAACTGAACCCATGCTGCTTGCACCGAAATCAGGCAAATGTACCACGGCACTCTCATTGACGGCTATTACTTCATCAAGTTCATTATGGCTAAGCGTAAACATCAACCAAGGAACAGGCATGAACCTGCATTCACATTGTGTTCTTGGTCATGATATACGGACTTTGCAGAAGAGAGGCATGACAAGAGACCCCATGCATGATCAGTCAACTGGAACCGGGAACCGCTAATGAATAAAGAACAGAGGCAGATCAAATGGAAGATCATACAAAGAAAAGAGATATGAAATATTCAGGACACGCTTTCACGTAAGTCGGTTTTGTATTCCAAACACGTGCAGCAAGACTTTGAATCCGCCCAAAAAAAAAACAAAAAAAAAAAAACAGCATTCACTCAGCAAGAACTACTACAGCATTTTCAGCCTGATGTGTGATTATGTGGGTTTTTTTTCAAAATGACTGATTGAAGATGTACAGTCGTGGACTAGTTTCAGTAATGCTTGTCCATTAAAGTATATCAGAAGTGACCCGCATCTGCTCGGGCAGTAATCACTGGACTGCTTATTGAGATATACGCTGTAGAGAGCAGATGTGGTTGCAGCTTTTATTCGCAGGTTATATCATATCGCATCGCACGTCAAGGAAGATAAAAACTACAGGAGGAGGAGTGATTATTGACTGTTCAACGGTGGGAGTTGACGTCATAATGTATGTGGAGCCTGTGGTGTTAGCATGAATAATCAAGAGTGAATTTGTGCACAAAACAAACTCAGAGGCCCTATGCTTGTGTAAATGCTGAATGCCAAGCGAGCACTGCATATGGACTTATGCGCCTTTCCATATATTCCATATATTCCAAAGTACTGGCTCGGCTTCATACTTCGGACTTCACTTTGATATCAGCAATGTATCAATACGAATGGGACATGGTGAAAACAACAAAGAATCATATTCACATATGGCAAATGACTGTTGGCCATAGGAATTGTATTCAAGAGGTAATGGAAAAGCAGCAAAAAATAAATCTATAAATAAATCAGCCAGCCATGAAATGGATACTGTAGAGTACAATACTGCAACAGCTTGAGCTCCGACATGACCAGTGTAGATTATACTTGGCGTGTTTCGACCTGCCAACAGACATGAGCAAATCAGTTTCTCCCTTCTGCCACATCAAGGACTATTGCGCCTCTCGCGCACCGCATTTAAAGGGAATGACAGGAGCCGCTACGATTGGTGGCAAATCAAGTCATTTGTGTTCACACCCACAACGACGCAAAATGCCTGTTTTTTACTCCGTGCATCATCAAAAACACCAAAACTCCTTCTGGCCTGCAGATTAACACCATGCCTCATACTGGACAATGCATTGGAAACAAAACCACAGCCCTCTTTAGTACTTTGAGATTTTATTTTACAGAAAAACTTGAGTATTCATATAATTAATCATCATCATCATCATCATCATCATCATCATAAATCTGTGGTAGAACCGAGACTGATATGTCCCACAGCTCTTATCAGATACTACAACTAAGATGATTTTATATATATATATATATATATATATATATATATATATATACACATATTAATAGGCTCAGAGTTCAGAGCAGCAATCACTCTCGTCTTTTGCCACCACTGTCTACTTATTGAGCAATAAAGTTCCCTAAAAAAAATTGGCTTTTAACAACAGCAATAATGGCGACAAAGAAAGTAATAGACATTAAACCATTAGCATACATTGTGCCTATTTTAAAGACTCAAATAACTCAATGTGTTCCCACTGTTTATGTCTGTTACCATGTCTGCCAAAGAAACTTGAGTGGAAAGCGGCAGTTTTTGCATAATCCTGCTGACTGGCAGAAAGGCCGGTTATTGTGATGTGGGTAGTAACAACCCCTCTTTGGACAAGGTTATTAGAAAATTCTTTTTTCATGTTATGAGAATTTACCCAGCATTAATGTTTAATGTAGTCCCCACAACTAAAATAATTTGACAACCACTCTTCCCGAAAAGCAAATTCCCAATTGCTGCATGAGGAAAAGTAAAGCAAAATGAGGGGAAGGAATTACATAATAGAATACTGTAGATAATGATCACAGGATGATGGACAATGACCAAAGGGATCTTCATTTCACTGTTATACAAGGCATACCTCAATCTGTTAAAACAAAAAATAACACCAGTGAGGCAGTAAAGCTTCACCATTGTTGGCTACGGGCTTACAATAAAGACCAAGTTTTAGTTTGCTAGCCTCGAATTGGTTGCATAAAAATAAAACACAACATTTGCATGAAATTGCATGAAGAAGACTTTTTGGTTGTTGGTTTTTTGTTGTTGTTGTTGTTGTTGTTTTTTTTTTACCTAGACTTGCAGATGTCCTCTTGCTCCCCGGTGACACACACACACCTCCGGAGTTCCATCACAATACAAGCGCAGTCCAAGGCGCGCAAGCAGGACGCATCACTGCGGTACCGAGAGCAGCAAAAGACAGAAAGAGAAAAGGAAAGAAAGAAAGAAAGAAAGAAAGAAAGAAAGAAAGAAAGAAAGAAAGAAAGAAAGAAAGAAAGAAAGAAGCTGAACTGACTGAGCTGTGTCGTTAATAAATTTACTTTTCCACGCCCTTTCTCAGTGTCAAGAGATAACCTCCCTGTGCATGGACCAGCTACTGCACATGCAAATAAAGAGTCTCTTGGCGCGTTGCACTCGAATACGATACCTGTCACAGACGACAAGACATTTAAGGTGATTCCTGGTTAGATCCTTCAAAATAAAAGCTTTAGTACGGTGTCTGTCAAAACGGCCAGAATGTGTACAGCAATTTCTGGTTAAAATTTTCAACTCAAAAGTTAACCCTTCGGAAGAACTTTGGGAATGAAATTACGACGCTGTTATAATCCGTTGTTTTTCAGTACTGCGCTTTTTGCTCTTTTGTTTCTTTCTGAGTTTAAATTCCCAATAAATTCCATATAGTTCAGCCAGTCCAAAAAAGTCAAATGCTTTAATTTAATCCTTTCAGGGACAGTGGTTACTACAGTGGACAGCTTGTCAGGTTATCACTTTACAGGTTATCATTATTTGTGCATGAAAGGCTTAAGTAAGATTTAGTGCAGCCAGTTCAACCCAGAGAGTTAAGAATACATCTTTCACTTGGTTGGTTTCACAATGTGAGTCATGCAAATGCTGTATGCGGAATTGTGGAGGAGATGGATTTTGCAAAGAAGTACAGGGAGGAGCGGGAAATGTTTTGGGTTCATGGAGTATGAGACCAAGATTCATTTTTACCAAAGTGATTGAAAGGCCAAGTATAGAGAAAGAAAGGATCAAAGTGGGTGGCTTCAAATAAAAGGTGCTCTGTCCTGAGTTGCTTAACACATCTAGAGGTAAATTTCATAAAATTTTAAGATGGAATTCAGAATTTTTGTCTGATAATCACCTTTTAATCTGAAACAAGAATGTCTTCAGTGCACACCAAAAACAAAATAATTGGCCTTGCCGTTCCATTATTTTTGGAGGAGGCTGCACATGGAAAACACACTAAGTCACAGCAATTGTGTGGTATTCTTAACATAGCAGAACAGTAAATATATCCATCCATCCAGCCATTTTTAAGATTAAGATTAAGATTAAGATATCCTTTATTTGTCCCACACTGGGGAAATTTACAGTCTACAGCAGCAAAATTGTGGGTAGAAAGAAGAAAGAAGAAAAACAAATTTCTGATCCACTTTATTCTCACAAGGGTCGCAGGGGTGCTGGAGCAGGGCACACAGAGACGAATAACCATCCGCGCTCAGAGTCACACCTAGGGACAATTTGGAGTGTTCAATCAGCCTGCCATGCATGTTTTTGGAATGTGGGAGGAAACCGGAGTATCCGGAGAAAACCCACGCAGGCCCGTGGAGAACATGCAAACTTCACACAGGGAAGCCGGAGCTGGAATTGAACCCTGTACCTCTGCACTGTGAGGTCTAAACGCCCACCAGGCCGCCACAGTAAACTGAACAGAAATTTATTGTCATTGTTTTACGAGCCCACTCCTCAGAATAATAATGGCCAACTGTTCATCATCCACTATTAATTAAGATAAAACCTGCTAACAAACACACGGACAAACAAATATAACCACGGCACTCTGCTGGCTTCTTTTTTGCACTTCTGAGAACAGCTCAACCTTGGTGGAGTTTTGCTCTCTTGAGCGATGTTCGAGGTCTACAGCTTGCTCATGCTCACTCTCACATTGTTAAGACAACAAAACAGACATAGGCCCAAGCCTTTTGTGCAGCTCCAATATCACTAGATTACATAGGTGCACTGAATGTTGTGGCCAGAAAAAAATTGAGACAGCCTCATCACATTTATAGTTGCTGCACTGACTTTCGTTACTGTTGTCGTACCGTGTTGATTTCTTGCAACTGCTCTCGAATATGGTTGTTAGTGAAGTTTGCTGCCTGTCTTGACTTGTTGTTTTATAATATACTTGCTTTTGAAGACTGCGCAGAGGTGCACAGTTCAATTCCGGCTCCTACCTTCCTGTATGGAGATTGCATGTTCTCCCCGTGCCTGCGTGGGTTTTCTCCGGGTACTCCGGTTTCCTCCCACATTCCAAAAACATGCTTGGCAATTTGATGGAACACTCTAAATTGTCCCTGGGTGTGAGAGTGAGCGCAGATGGTTGGTTGTCAATGTGTGCCATAGGAACCAGTTCCGGGTGTACCTCACCGACTATCCGAAGATGGCTGGGATAGACTCCAACAGGCCCGCAACCATTGCGAGGATAAGCGGATCAGAAAATGGATGGATGGATATATATTGTTATTATTATTATTATTATTGTTATTAAACAATCAGATCACCACATGCACACAGGAACCCTGACAAGAACAAATTCCAAACCAAGGCCGAGTCCCAATGCAACATACTTGGTGCAGTTTCATTAATTTCAAAATGCCTAACGAAAAGATAAAGATACATTTTATGACTGGCTGCAGTCCAAACCTTCACTTGCTTATTGTGTGTGGGACTTGCTGCGTTCCAGTGATTCATTTATTCATTCATTTTCTCCCACTCTTCCTCTTCAGGCTCATGGGTGACCTTGCGAGTCAATAGAAGTGTCTTTACTTTTGTGTTTAGTTAGTGAAAAGCATGCTTCTGGATTGAAATCAGGCAATCCATCATCACAAAGGATAACATGAATTTTTTTTTCCATCAAAACAGTGTTAAGTTGCTTGTAAAGTATGGCTACCTACACTGTGGAAATGCAATGTTATGAGTTTTGTAGCAATTGTCTGAATGTCAACATAGTATAGAGCACAGTCTTGTAACTTTAGAGAAATGTAACGTCATCAAGAAGCACCCGTTCGCTCATTCAAATGCAGTGGCGGACCCTCAGGGCCAGCAAGGCCTTCTCTGCTGACCTAAACATTCATAGAATAACATAAATGTAATTTGTTATTTTATTTTCATAAATATGTAAACAAAATTATTCTCTGTATTCTTTACGTCATATAATTTCCACTTAGTCGAGTGGCTTTCAATGTTATTTAAAATAACATTGAAAGCCACTCGATAAATAACTTATTTATTATGATATAGTTTTTAACCAATCATATTTCAGCTAGCTTGTGTTGCCAGGTAAATTAAACTTGCTCAGGGCCTTCAGATTAAACAGAGAAGGCCCCTGTGTGCTGTAAATGAACGGGCACAGTCAGGTTGCAATAGCCAATCAGATCACGAGTCTGCGCACCGGGGCCAGCTAGAATGCCTTACGTCGAGACTGGATGTGCGCGTTCGGTGATTGGATTAGCGCCTGCTCACAGCCTCTGAGAAACGCTGCAAATTGTACTGCTGGGAATGCCTATTGCTTGCAACTGACCGATTTGGTGTTTGGAGCCACACCGGATTTACCAATTTAAGTTGTTTTACCAAGGCACCAAGGAAACATCAGAGCACGGCTGGGCGCTTACAAACTACGGTGCGTTTAAAAACATTTGGGGACACTCGCGTAGATCTACAGCTCAGTGAACAGGCACTACATTGGTGAGTAAATGAATTTTATTTTACATTTCTTCTTGTCATTTTAATTCGTTAGTATTAAATTAATGGTAACGAAATAAAATGACGAAGATACAAAAATGTATCAAATAAATCTGATCAACTGCAATTTATAATGGCGCATTGTAGTCACCTTTGTGCACTAAAGTTCGTTCAATCTCAGCTGCTCAACATAGTCAGTTATTTGCTGTTGTATAGCCTATTCTCAAAATGCAAATGATCTGTTAACTTTATTTTCAAAGAATAGTTTGTTTTGTTATTGTTTGGTTGGTGTCTTATATGAAACTGCGACATTGCGCAATTTATTGGACAGACTTGTTGAAGATCACACAGCGTAATTTCGGTGGCATTTTATTTAGTATTTTTAAATCATCTTTTTATTTTTGACAATATCTGTAAATTTAGTTTCCTGCTCTTAATTGTGAATGCATATTTGATGGTTTTAAATGCTCCTGAAATTAAGTGCTGCTTGACGAGCCTATATTGTGTTAATGTATGTGACGTCACTGAAGGCCGAAGGTTGAAATGCACGGCCCGCCACTGTTCAAATGGTAGTACACACTACCGCTGTGCACCTTTATAATTTTTGTATCAAATGGTAAATTAGAAGATTCATGTCTAGCAATAATAATCGTTCTAATTTTGCATTAAAAATACCATGATAACCGATTTTGAGTTGTCTTGACACGTTGTGGCCTGTGTTGTGTGACATACTCAACGATGATGAAAGGTTCTTCTACACTGACCAATAGAAAGAAGGAGAAAACAATTACAGGTGGCACTTTGTTTTTGTTCCCACCCCTTCAGAAATGCTGTATGTTCCACATGCCAAAATCCATCACTGTCACCATTATTGGAAAAGCAAGGCTATTGCGATGAAATTCTGTGACCTGTGGCAACCCCATATCTCAAGTTAAAAATATAAAAGTACCTAAAAAAAAAAAAAGCCTTCCAAATCATCTTTCAAAAATGAAACCAAGGTAATTTGTCTGAATACGATTTATCCCTTGAAAATAGATGTAACCTGCACAAAATGTCTATAAGGTACTCTCTAGTAGGCTGTATACAACATCTTTGAAATTCTACACCTCTTGATCACATCTTGATTTTTATAGTTCAGTGTGGCATATAAAGTACCATAAAGGCAAAACAAAAACTTCTGGATTTACAGTAACTGTATAATTGAGTCCTCATTACGAGGTGAAATAGTTTTTTTCCAAGCCATTCATATTTTGTTTTTAAGCATTTCTTTTGAGCATTGCAATTGTTGCTCCCACATAATGTCCTTGCAAATGTATGAGTGGCATAGGTGTCATTGGCTGATGACTTCAACACAGAGTATGGCAATTCAATTACAAAGTACAAACAAAAGAAACTCGGGATATGAACTTTCATTAAAATCTACTGCATTGCGTCTGTAAAACAAGATGAACTCTGTTGGAAACACAATGACACAAAGAGGACGGGCCCCGCCAAAGATTTTGAAATTCAGTTTAAAAAGAAAAAAAAAACCTAACCATCTTGTTGAGGGTAAAAGGATGAAACAATATCTTATTTTCTTCCTTCCTTCTTTGAGGAACTGTCATTTCTTGAGTATAATACATAACTTGTACCTGCATTATAACAATCGTGACCTGTATTATATGCACCCCCAAAATTGCACTTCAAAAGCTGATTTTCATTTGTATTCAAATATAATAAGTCCCCCCCCCCCCACCTCCGATTTGCTCAAAAATTGAACTGTTATCTGTGTTGTAATTTGACAGGTATTTCATGCGTTGAGACATTCTTTGGTATAAAGAGACGCTAACAGCTAATGAAAATGACTTGCTTTGGAAAATACTTATTACTATCTGGGGAACCCATTTTTAAACAAAACACTACAATGTGTAAGGCATGTTTCTGTATCCTTTGCCTTGACCAGTTTAGGGACAAATCCACTCACAGGGCTGTCATGATTCTAGGTGAGCAGAAAAAACGATGCTATATGTACATCAAGCTGTAATATTAGATATTACGTATATTGGAATTAAAGTACCAGAGGTAGGAATTCAGTCAGTACTGATGTAAGATCCGTTAGTCCATCACTGACGCACGCCCATTTTGCTGACAAATGACGAAGGTGCCCAGGCTGCTGGAAAAGTACTGTACACCTTTTTCCACAAGCTGTATCGCTAAATGTCTATACAGTACAATGTGAGAAATGGTCTTAATTTCACTTGTGCTCATGTATTTTACTGTATGCATTCTCAATTTTGCGGGGGGTATAAAATTCATATTGTACAGTCAAACGTCACTTCGACGTACCCCGTTTACGTTTTCACCTCGATAACGTTCACGTTTCAATGTTCCGATTTCACGTAATTCATTTTCCATTTGCTGATTTTGTTTACAACAAACATCTTTACAATGTAAACTTCATTATAACGACGAGATTTTTCCCACAAAATAGTGAAAATGCTTATGTCACAATGAACCGTGGGAAGCTAATTGCCACCACGACCTTGCTTATGAACAAAATGTACAGCACGAGATTTCCCTCCGTTGCTTAGCAACACAACTGATCAACTCGTATATTGTTGTACTTCCGGAGGCACGGCACACATCATCTGAAAACATGTCTGGTAAATGGAAACAAATCTCGCTGCGTATGAAGAACTGATCATGTCGTTCGCTTTCAAAAGGGAGTCTCACAGACGACGTTCGGCCGAGACTACGAATTAGCAAAATTGACAATTTCGACAATCATCCGTAATAGCAACAAAATCATGGCAGAGTTCGAGGCCAAAGATTGAAAGACAATCGTAAAGGGCTTCAGGGCGCAGTACACCCTAAATTCATGACAGTTGGCCTCGTCGGCAGCACTGGTAGATGCCTATACATGTAGCGGGTAACATTTGCTGACTGAATGTCTTCAGAGACGACGTAGGAACGCTACAGTTGTTTGTTTCATGTCTTATAAAATCATTTTTTTCTTCATACTTTTTACACGTAATTGACATGTTTATACTGCATTACATGATCATGTTTTTACATTTATGAAGTTTCATACTGTATTATACATTGTAGTTGGTGGCCCTTTTATTGGAAATTGTTACAATGAACTACCGTTTCAACGTACAGATTCGTTATGTCCCTCTAGGTATGTTGTAACACTGTGATAAGGCTACCCTCCAGCATTTTTTTCTTCATACTTTTTACATGTTTTTACATTTATGAAGTTTCATACTGTATCATACATTGTAGTTGGTGGCCCTTTTTTTGGAAATTGTTACAATGAACTACCGTTACAACGTACAGATTCGTTATGTCCCTCGAGGTATGTTGTAACACTGTGATAAGGCTACCCTCCACTCGCTAAATTGTCGCGAGGTTCGACTGGTGCAGCTAGGCTTCATCACACACAGAGACCCAGCTATAGTCTTAGCATTTATCCATACTAAATCATAATTTGTAATTCACACACTGAAAAAGCAAACAGACTCACATATATTTTCATTAGTGTCGTTTAATTTAAAAAAAAACGCATCCTGGGATGAAGGCCGAAGGCTGACGACGGGATTGTGCGCAATCACACGCTGCCATACTGCCCCCCGGAGGACACACAGAGTAAGGCAGCATGACAAGGATTCTCATCTCGGCGAACAAATGGGCAAATCTCGACGAAGTTTCATCACTGATGGCAGATATATCTACAGCTCTCTTTTAGCCAGTAATATTTAAAATTGTAAAACTCAGTTAGGTGGAGAGCAGTTCAGTTAATGTTGATTCAGGGTTCCAACAAAGTACCAATCTCAACAATTGTAGGCTGCTAAGTGATTAAATTAAAATGCGCTCATCTCAGCAAGAAACACCACAGTACTCCTGCTGTACAAGTTTTGTTTTAAAAGGTTCTTAAATTTTCCTATTTGAAATTAATGTTTAAAACTGAAAGAAAAAGGTTTGTTTGTGTACGTGTGTTGTTGGGGGGGCACCAAGTGTACCATTACGAGAATATAAGATTTTGTTAATGAAACAACTTGGTCCACTCCTCAACGATTGGACTGAATTATTAGCAGATTAGTTGAACGAGGCCACAAAGGTTCATAGACCTCTACTTGATTTCCAGTTCTAAAAATTTTAAGTACAATACCAACAATAGTGTCATGTAAAATAAAGGACTGTAGGACATTTGGTCAGTACCGATGGGAATGAATCACATGCGATCATATATCAGACTTGACATATTAACTTGGGCTGTATTTGTTTACGATGCATATGCTATTTAACATGCCAATACTGTGTTGGCCAAATATGGCACTTGTTTGTTTTCCTGGCACAAACTATTTTCTACAGCAGTCCATTATTGGCATATTTTTCTTGACCTGCCCCCGCCCCAAAAGAAGAATTTACAGCACAAGAAAGGATCAATATATCTAAATCTAAATGATGGCATTAGGAATTTAAGTCGCAATAAAGTCATTTTCATTAAGATGTTAGCAACTGAGGCTTGAAATAATCAAATTAAAACCACATGATAGAAGATGAAATAATACAGGACATATTTGTTTTAGGACAGCAGGCTCTTCCAATAATCCAGACACCTCCCCTTAGAATTGTCATTTTTCAGAATTAGCTTGTTCCACAATTTTTATCCCTCAGAATGTGCAAACACTCAGCTTCATGCCATGACAAGGTCGAGGTAGAGCAAGAGGAAGCAACATGACCAAGCCATTCGTGGCTTCCCCTCTTCCTTTCTTCTAATGCTCACAGCGGAGTGGTTCGATACCGACCAGTCGCACTTTGCCATCAGGAGACGATGCGAATCCCAAAATTCTTTTTCAGTTGCTCCAGGAAGATGAACGTGAGCACTGTATGAGGAATCAAGCGGATCCCTGCAGGAACAAGGCCCTGGCACGCAATGTATGGAAGCAGATCACTTTATAAGTATAGTGAAGCTTGGAGAAGAAAAAGTCAAGTAACAATAACATTTGAGTCCTGTTAGTTTTAAAATAAATTGTCACTACCTTATAAAATGCCAGGGGGCCCAACTTGGCAGTTTCTTGTAAGCAATGTCGTACACCCTGAAAGTACATTGACACCGGTTACATCCATTCAAGTTTAAGAGATGGCAATAAGGAGTGAAGCGGCACTCACAGTGTACTCCCCTTTTGAATTCATGAGTCGAGTCTTTAGAACGTCAAGAGGCTGACAAAGGAACGTTGCACAACCTCCCTGCATACAGTTCACATGAAAAGGGTGGTTAATTTCAAACAAGATGCTCATTTAGTCAATGGCGGTCCAACCATTTGAATAACCTGACACTTACAGCAATGAAGCTGGAGAGGAAGTGTGTGAACACGTTATCTCCCAGCATCCCCGTTCCCAACACCAGCTGCTTGGCCTGGTCATAACATGCCAACTGGAGGGAGGAAAAAAGGTACATCGGGCACATCAGATTCAATGCGGACTGACACTACAGCCACATAGCTCCAATAAATCACGTCATTATTTCCCTTGCAGAATGAATTGAGTTTTAATCATACTCCAGTTTACCATCTATTTCATAATCATGTTAAAAACGGCATCGCCAATACGTCTGAATGCTGAGAGATTTGATTGTACGGCTAGGAAGTGCGAGGATCTTTGATGGCACCCATGGCCCTGCCTCTGATATTCTGCAGCAAATGTCGACTCATTGGACGTCACGAGTAGAGTTCGGTTCACATGCATCCTAAACAACACATTTGGATTTTTTTTTTGTTAATATTTGATTCCGCTTCACAATGCTGATCCAATTTCTTATGGCCGCAACAGTTGGCATTTATGTGAATGTTTGACTCATTTTATTCGGTTATAAGTTACATATAAATCTTGCATCTCGGAGGACCATGGTTGGCTTAATTGTTAAGCTTCGACTATCATGAAAGAAAAAAAGCCTTCACTGTTTCATAAGAACGTAGACTATAAGGCACACAAACGTGTGCAAGTACCGAAGTGAAGCTCTTGCTCATAACTCATTAATATTTCATTGGAACCATTTCACCCACTTCTCAATTCATTACAAATATTGATTTAGCAATAATGCATTAAAGTGCCTTTAAGTAAGTCCAATTCAATTTAGCTAATGCGTTACAGATGAATACGGATTTGTAATAGCTTTCAATGTGACGGACAAAACATTTATTCACATTTTGTTTGGCGTATGAATTCATTTAACAAAACCAAGAAAACATGTACTGTATGTAAAAACATACCAAAGGGATGCATACGTTTACTGATAAGTGCATATACTTGCCTGTCCCACAGTGACCAAGGCTCCTCTGCTGGATGCCATGGTGGCTCCCGAGAACAGTTTCCTCAAACCCTCTGTGGGACAGCTCAGAAGTCAGAAATGACATTGTTTGACTTTGTAGTCACAGTACAGCTTGCTGGCATTACCTTCTCGGAAGACTCTGAAGAGCCCGTCAATGGCATGTTTGTAGCTGGCAGGAGAAAACGGGTTTAGCTGGACATTTTGCAAAGAGGTTTAATGTTTAGTGATTTCATATGTTGGTGATATTCTGCATCACATACTTTCTCCTTAGTTCTGCTGGTAGTTTCATGTCATTTTGCATTCTGGAAACAAAAATACATGTAAATAAATGACAAAAGATGACTTTAAAGCTAAGTGCATTCTTGGCATGTTACCTGACATTGACCATGTCTGCTGGCGTGCCAACAAAGCCCCCCGTAAAACCTATTAGTGTAATAATATTGTTAGTTTATTTGTTGCATGTCTCTGGGCGGGTGTGCGTGCACGGACCTCCAAAAGCTCCCAACAATACTTTTTGGTAGAACGGCATGGGGCCCTGGCTTTTGTTTCCAATCACGTCCCTTACAGTCTCATAGATGGCAAATCTGGTTAGCGAATACGACATCTGAGGAGGAGAAGATAAACAAAACGAGACCTTTAAGCTATTTGGACCATTTTCAAATAAGATATGAATCATGTAAAAAAGGTGGGTCATTGTATTTAATTAATTGCTTTTGGATTCATTTAAGTTGTACAAAGTTGTTTTACAATATGAACTCAATGGCTGGAGTTACAGTGAAAATAAATATGTTTCTTCTGACTAGCAATGACACAAGCAAAAGTGTCAAAAAAGACGTAACACTGGAGATGGGATTTTTTTTTTGGCCATTTTCTTTTTGTTCTTATTGCTTTTTTTTGTTTTGTTTTATTATTATTGTTTTATTATTATGTTGCTGAAATTATCAGACATCCATCCATCCATTTTCCAATCCGCTTTATCGTCACAAGGGTGTGCTGGAGCCAATCTCACCTGTCTTCAGGCAGGAGGCGGCTGACACCCTGAACCGGTTGCCAGCCAATCGCAGGGCAACCAGGGACGAACAACCATCCGCGCTCACACTCATACCTATATGCATGTTTTTGGAACCGGAGTACCCGGAGAAAACCCACGCAGGCCCGGGGAGAACATACAAACTCCACACAAGGAGGCCAGAACGTGGAATTGAACCCGGTACCTCTGCATTGTGAGGTCGACGAGCTAGCACCCACTTTCGATGAAAACAAATCCTGGTAAGTTCTAGCAAAATCTTTTGAGCAGTGATTGCCAACAATTGTATAGTGACACATTAGTGTGCAATTGAAGACCATCCGGTATGCAGCAGGAAATACCCAAATTCACCTAATTTGTCCAAAAATTATTTATTTACTACAATAGCGTCTCTTTGTTCATCGACTGCATCCATGCACTCTTCCACTAGATGGCATAAGGTACATAATTGCCCTGTGTATCCATTTTTTGTGACATTTCTATTTTAGTGATGTGCCATGAGGCTTTATCTAATGTAAAATATGTGCCTTGGTGCAATAAAGGTGAGGAAACGCTGATCTATGGCATCCAGGTTCACTATAAATTTGAAGCATTTGATTTTCATCCATTATGGAATTTTTTATTTTTTTTTTGCAAGCTTTTTGCCACTTTATTTTTCCGGAAGCAGGTAACGTTTCAACCTCTACAAAATTACTTATAACTTAATATTTGGCCACGATATGAATAAATGATCTGTAAAAGTGGAACGAGGATAGTTATAGCTGAGCAAGAGCTTCAATTTTGTTGTACCTTACATCAACGTAAAAGGTAACTAAAACCTGTGTTTGAAAAAGAAAATTGGCCATTAAAATAGATTGTATTTAATTGATTAAAAGGCAGAGGAATTCTCCCTTGAAACAAGTGAGATTTTTTTACATTTGAGATTGCCGATGCATTATCCTGAGTAGGTAAGTGGTTATATAGGGTAACAGAATTCATGGTCGAGTGGCTGCACTGCACCACTTCAGCTTACGCAAGAGGGGATAATGAAGTAGCTAGTAAATGGCTGGTCATTAATTAGATCCATTTAATTCAACATGATACCAAGGAACCACTTGCCAATAGCATGCACGTCCTTTACCTGTCTGCAAAGGGAAGCAGAAAGGCCATTGTAAAGAGCAAGCACCCCATTGTTCTTCACCACATGAACGGCCATGCCAAACATCCTCTTTTTGACCTCCTGCTGTGTTTGGAGGTGCACCTGCGAACAACACATATAGCATGATTGGCATGAAACTGGGTACTCTAGCATTTTCACTTATGTGAGGCATCTTGACTCCCCTCCCTGAAAAATGCACCTTTGGTTGTTTGATGACACGTTTCCTAATTGACAATGTGCTATCATAAAACTTGTGTCTTATTCTTTTTGAAGGTGAATTTTGCTGAATCAAAGGGCATAATAATGAAATAATCATGATCAAGAATTCTGCTTAGTGTGATTTTTTTTAAACAATTGATATGAACATATCAATATGTAAAACACACGTCACAGTGTCACTGTCATCTAACATTCATGTAAACAATTTGATCCATTAATCATGATTTTGTTTCCCATCTAGTAATCATTTTCTAGTTTAAAAATGTCATTGTAGAAGTATCATTCAATCGAACTTTATTTATACATAGCACTTTTCATACGTAAAAATGCAACTCAAAGTGCTGTGCAATTAAGATTTTGAAATTACAACATAAAAAGAGAATGCCCCCCAGCATACACAGAGATATCGTCACAAGCATGTTTATATGCTTGCACACACGCGCACACGCACACACACAAAAGCACACATTCCCCGATGACCCTGATGACCTAGAGGCTATTCCATAGCTGGGGACCAAATGTCTCACCTTAGGAATAATTAAAAGGCCAGTCCCACATTACCTCAGGATCCGCAATGGTTGATAAGATAAAAGCAGGTCGGATAAATAAGATGGCCAAGACCGTGAAGGAATTTAAAATCTAATAAAGGTACTTTCAAATCAACCCTAAAATACACCAGGAGCCAATGTGGTGATTTTAAAACTGGTGTAAGTATAGCAGTTTTTGTTGTTTAAGAGGAAGCTGAGCAGTGACTTTTGCAAAATCCCAACTCTGCAAGTTCTACAACGTTACCTAACATCTTTTTTTCAGCACTCCTGCCTTGTGAACTTTATAACAAGTTTATGAAAAGGTTTTCTCCACCCCCCCAAAAATGTCAGTTTAATTTTCAAAGACAGAGGAACGTTCAACGACCGCAATCCATTTGACACCATCAGATCATGAACAAACTAGCTTTCCTAATACAAGAGTGTGTTGTTACAGTAACGTAACAGTTTTCTCAACAGGATGTCCAGAGGGGGGCCCGCAATTTCACAATGTGGCCTTTGTCCTTTGCTCCAATAGGGATTTCTGTTTCAGGGTCTCTCAGTCTTTAAAGCTTGTTTTTATCTGTGCTCTACTAAAATTGTATTCACCTCACCCACCCACTTAACAATTATTTGGTAAGCTCGACTCCTACACACATATATAATTTCAATAGTCAGATGGAAATGACAACCCACTAAATCTTTAGCACTGGAAGGTGCAGGTTTTGAATTTATGGAGAGATGACAAATCATGGGTAAAATTGACGGAAACACTCAAAAAAGGCATCATTTTTAACACAGAGGATGTATGCCATGTACCTGTACTGTATGTCACAGTTATTCACGCATGGCAGAACACAGCATGTGGTGTGTATTCCATTCGAGATAATGAGCTTGATCAGGTTTCTCCCAGTGAAGTGTATATTTACTTTGAACAGCCCAGACACATAACTACCATGGGCTATAACTCAAATTGTCAACCCAAATATATACCACGTGAAACACAGTCCTTTAACTGCATTTCATTGTCACAAATGTAGTAACAGGAGGACTTGCAGAGCAGAGACACTGGGGTAAATTACCTTAGACGCAACAAGCACTTATTTTTCCAGAAAGAACTTTTTAACATTGTAGCGCTTATCTCTTTAAATAACCCCCCCCCCCACCCCACTAGCTGCAAGCCCACTGGCCTCTGATTGGTTTTCAGAAGTTGGCAAAGTGAAAAGATGCCTCCCAGTACTTTGGAGGAACGGCATAAAAAGAAGGCCAGGGGTGATAAAAGTAATGACAAAGCAAATTTTGCTTAACTCTTGTTCTTCTGTCTCTCTCACTCATAACGTGCAATGTAACTGCCTCCATAAGACTGGGTCAATTACAGTGGACAATAGTGACCCAAAAACCAAAAATTTTGTGAGTGCAGACCTCCTGTTATTCATTACACACCGCATGATTCACCAGAGGCCAGTTAGAGTTGTCAAGGTCATGTGATGCTGCCATTACCATGTTATATAAGCGCATGTGAGCTGTCAGGTATAAACCTAGGCAAGTAGTTTGACCAGAAGCAATCTACAGAAGCAGCACAGACATATATTAATTGGTAACCCGGAGCAATCATTTTGGCAAGAATAATAAAACTACTATCCATCTGGAGTCCACTATTTTACTCTTTGATGGACACTGGAGAATACTTGCACATGACATAAATTATTTCGATAAATGAGTCACACGTTCATGAGTACATCTGAGAAAGTCCAGTTTCAGCCTTAGTTTGGCATTCCCTAAAACACCTTAGAAGTTGTATTATGAAAAGACCAAAATGCACACATATGCGCAAAATTTGGCCCAGTTAAAAACACAATTACCCAAATCCCCAAATAGTCTGACAGAAACAAGGCTTTTATCAACAGGCTGTCACAAATTACCTAAATAACAATTCTGAGTTTAGATTGACTGACAGAATTTTTGATTTTACAATATTTATTTTTGTGGTGGTACTTTGCAGCAGTGAACAGGCACACCAATACTAAGCTGTTTCTTATATTGCTCATGTTAGATAGCAAAAGGCAACTCCAAAAAAAAATCTAATTTCTGTGTACAATTGTACAATATGTACAATTTGACCTAATTTGTATTTTTTATCATTTCAATGTTTAAAATAATAATATCAATCAATAAATCTTAATCAAACGCAAACTCCCCGTGCAGTACATTTTGAGACGCAGACTGCTTTATGCTGGTAAGCACAAATTTGCCATACCACAGGTCCCATAATGACACTGGGACCCAAATTATTTATCACTTACCATGAGAAAACAATGCATTGCATGTTTCGCTAATCTAGGCTTTTTCCTGTGCCATTTTGAGAATGACAGTCTGACGTCACTATTAATATCAATATCATCATGATCACAACCACCTCCACTACACCTGAACGTTTGGCCTATATCTTGCCACGTGCGCGGTGACAGAAACTACTCTAACAGTGACAGTAGCACAGCAACCTTTTCACACTGAGCACTAAATGACGCAACTATATATTGATTCTAGAGCGAATATTGTAAATCAAAAGGTTTGTTGAAAACAGCTGCAGTCTGTGTTTAGGCCTGCACCCCTCGACGCCACACCGGGGAGAGGGTCTCATCTAGCCTCACCACCCCATCACCTTGAGGAGATCCAGAGGATGCGTGCAGCAGGCGGCTCCACAGGACGCCAAGCCGCCGAAATACCACCGCGTCTTCCGTGTCTCGGTCATGGCTGAGTCCGGTGCCCTCGCAAGGTGCAGCAACAGCTGTGGCCGCGTTCGTTGTTTCCCGGTCGGTCCGCCTGGAAGGGATCTACGCTACCGGTGGCAGTGGTAGTATTTGTTTCACGACCTCGTTAATCTTCAAACATTCCGGCAAAAGGCGTGCACTTTGGCTCCAGACGTATCGCGCGCACTCCAGTCACATATTTATGGAGACGAAGCGCGTGTGTGCATGCACAGTAAGTTAGCACAATGTGTAGCGATTCAGGAAGCAGCTGAAAACCAGAGAGGAGGAGCAGCCAATTGACGACGTGGACGCCGAAGCTGCCTACCCGCCCCCCTCGTCCGTACTCTCGTGCCAAAGACCACTCTAAATACACACACACACACGCACACACGCACAAGCACACACGCACACACAACCGCTTTCCCCTCACTCCACCGGCTTGTGTCTCTTTTTTAAAGCGACATGTCCACATCGCTGCCGTGCGTCTCCATTTTTTAGAAATGTCTCTTTAAGCGGACTCCTCAAAATCCAGCAACATGTGTGGCGCTATGTGCCGCTCAGCTAAAGATCTCGTGCTCTGCATTGTTAGAGATGTTCCGCCTATACTCACATGCCAGGCACCCTTAAATAGAATGACTTTATGGGTTCGTGTAAAAATGGCCAGTGTAAAGTTAAAGGTTGTGCTTGTGCATCATTCAAGAATAAGCCACAGGTGTCCAACTCCGGTCCTCGGGGCCGGGGGGGGGGATATCCTGCATGTTTTCCCATCTCTCCATGCTGCAATCAGGCAGCAGATATAACATTTTTATGTGACAACACCGTTCCTCAGAAATGAAAACATGAAAGAATAATAGACACAAGCATGTGAGTATGACTGAATAACTGCATGTTTTCAGTGAAAACTTCATGACGATTGAGAACCGCGAAGAACTCACACAACTTTGCGTTTATTTGTGTAATCCTTGATATATAAATACCAAATGAAAAAACACACTGCAAATCTTAACAATACAAATGTCAGAATAACAATGAAATTGGATTTGAAATTGCAAAATACATATCTGTGTACTTTTATGTATACAGTCACACTGATAGCTCAACACTAGTGTGTGGTAATGAAAAGAAAACGTTTGCTTTGTTGAAATGAAAAACAATGCATCAGTTCATTTAGTATAACATTATTTTGTGTTAGATTATTTATGTCAACCAGAAATATTTATTCAACTTAATAGCAACCCTGAAATAATCAAAAATTGTTGCTGTGAAACAAATATAGGTTTGTAAAAGTATAGTTGTAAATAACATTTTAATGATGTTCATAATGGTAATAAACAGACAGACAAAAAAGAATTTCGAGAATTTAAGAAAAAAAAAATTACAAATAGAAAATGAGTGTAAAATATCATTTGAAATAATCTTGACAACTCAAATACTCTACCAGAATAAAATTAAAAAAATCACAAATAAAGAACACCAGTACTGTCTTGCTCACTCTCTTGTTCTCGCTCTCAGACACACTCTCATGCACACACACACACAATCCAAAAGGCACACTTACACTGACAATATACAACAACTCTCTGTGTGCTTACCACCCACTTACACGCACACACACACATGTACAGAGGCTGAGTGAAATCTAACAAATGTATGTTACAAACATTAGTAAACATCACAGCATTGAACAGCCCCAGCCAGTCACTCAAATAAAAGCATCCATTAATGAATTTCATTTTCTTTTTCCCAATTTGATTTATTAGCTGTTTATGTTAAACAAATGTTGTATTTCACTTAAACCCATGACTAAAACAATTCAATCAGTTGATCGGTCCAATAAAATCCAACACATCTTACACAAAAGCTTTTTCTTGTGGCTTTGCTTCTCCCGCTACCCCTGAATGTGGGTTGTCTTTTGCCGCTCTTCCAATAGGCAATATTCCTCCTCCTTTTGGAGAAGAACCAATGTGCAGGAGAGCGCCCCCCAGCAGCAGTAGCACACTGGCCACCCAGCCCAGATAGAGCGCTGGTCCCAGCTCTCTCTTTAGAGGTGCTGCAACATTCAGATCGTAAAAGTCCCTGATTACTGCAAAGGCAGTCCAAGAGATGGGTATCAAAAAGGCCAAACCAGCCACAATGAAGAGCGCCCCTGCTAGCCTGCTCAGCCGAGCCTTGGAGGCTTGGTTGGTGTCACCCAGGCAGTGGGTGCACTTGGCCCCCATCACCCCAAGTAGGAGGGCCAGAATACAGAGGAGCAAAGAGAGGACAATGAGGCTGCGGGCGGCTTGAGTGGACGTGGGCAGGGCCAGTGTGGAGTCGTACGTCTTACACTGGATTTGACCTGTGGTCTGAGACAGGCAGTTCATCCACAGTCCTTCCCACATCACCTGGGCGATCACCAGCTCCCCACCCACAAAGGCGGACACGCGCCACAGAGGGGCGGCGCACACCAATATCCCACACACCCAGCCTAGCACCGCTAAAACCAAACCCAGCAGCTGAAGAGTCGTCGACGCCATGTTTGCTTGAAAAAAGCCAAAGGTCTGACTTTGAAAGAACGTTTATACAAAACTCCCCTGGAAACCTCGGTGTGAAGAAATCCTCGATCGATGTGTGATTGTCATAAACCACCTCAATGAGTCCAATTCTTCAACGCAGTAATCTGCAGAGATGACATGTTTTCCACATTTAAAACTTGCCAATTTCAAAATGCCATTTCAGAATTAACATGTGAGAACAGAAGATATTATGTTGATACAATTCCCAAGATCGCATTTGCATTACATTGTAAAATATATCATTGCAATCAATAACACCACTTAAAAATACAATACAATGCAATACATCCTGATTCATAATATACCTCGTAATTGGTAAAAACAGGATTGGGATGACATCAGGACAATGAGATTGATCATGTCTCTATGTTTTTCTAGCCAAGACATTCAGAGGCTCCGCCATGCTTTTGAGTCCTATGAAATCTTTACTTTTATTTTCCTCTTAGAATTTTCATTCCTTTTTTCCCCCTAATGGGAGTTACAGTGTTGTACTGTCGTTGTTTGCGATCGCCAATCTCTCCTCTGCGTTCAGTAAGTTAGGATCAGTAAGCGTTATGTCAAATGAAAACAAGAGCTAATCCAATCCAAATTCACAACTTTTTGTTTTGACTGAGTATGAGTCTGTAGCGGTAGGCTGCTCAGTAAAACTTAGCAAAATAATATATCTATTTTTTTAGCTTATGAATGTCGTAAATGCAAGAACCAAGACTCTTACCAATTTTGATGGTGTGAAATGTCAATGTCTTCACAGTCTTTCACTCTTCTCTTATGACTGGCCAGCTTGTTTGTACATCGCTCGTGTCGACGAGCGTAGGAGGGCTGCAGTGTGTCGTGCTGCATACTTAATACTCACACGCAGATAGTTATGCCACAAATGACAACACAGGGGGACATTGTTAGAGGCGCATGTTCCAGAAGAAAATTCCAATGATGACTGCTCATGATGTCATTCCTTTGAGTTTAAATGTTGAGTAATATTGACTTTCTCTCCTGAGTTTTCTTTAAGAGCATTTTAAAAACTAAGTAGAGCCATGACGATGACATTTTATCCTAAATCAATAATGTAAAGAAGAAGAAGAAGAATGGCAACAAGGCACTTTGCAGTCTTCATGAACAAAGTTTGACTTGTGGATGTTCATCTCCAAGAAATGAGGGTGTCAAAATGGAAGAACCTCTCAGGAAGATAAAGTGCAGCTACACCACTACAAATTGCACCCCCCACACACAAAAATATGTGCATGCCTTTCAAATTGTACCTTCCTGACAGTGTCAATAACATCAACAATATCATTTATAGCGGGGCAGAAATTCTGTTAGGGCTTCTGTTGGCTCTCATTAGTTGGACAGGTTTACCTCTCATATTGTGGCCCATTAGTGTGAAGTCATCTACTACCCAAGATCGCAGTAGTCCCTCACCCAGAAATGCACTTTCCCCCTTCATTTCCCCATGTTTTGTGCTTGAGTGAACTGTAATGTGAGGTTACTCCCTGATGTTTCCTCTCTTAAATACAAATGGCAGCATACAGACATTACCCATTGTCTTTCATTTCCTTAAGGGAAGAGCTTGTCATGTTTCTAACTATACAGCTAGCACATGACTGCTTAAAATGATTATTTAGCACAGTTATGAGACTTACGTAAATAACAATGCTGTACTGCTTAAAATGATTATTTAGCACAGTTATGACACTTACGTAAATGACAATGCTGTAATTTGGTTTGTTTATTAAGATTCACACTGTTACTTAAAATGTTCTATTCAAGTAGAATGTGCTTTTAAATACATTTTAAAGGGGGAGAAAATACAAACAAAAGGCAGCAAGTATCATACCGTTCACAGTTTAAATGAGAGTTCATATCCAGGGGTCGCTGAATAGTTCGGTGAAAATGGTTTAATTCTGTAAACAGACGATGCCAAAATGACATAATTCACGGATTTTTAGTCAAAACAAATACTGCGTGTTGAATAGAGTGCATCATGTCCTTGGCACTGACGTCCTTCTATACTGGAAAATCAGATTTAGCTTTGCATCTAATTCCTTTCCAAAACCAAAGAGCAACTAAGCCACATAACACTCCCAGGAGGAGAGTCGGTGCTCCAAGCGCCAGCGCCACAGTGGTGTCGGCCCCCACCGCGATAACCATGCCAGCCAACACCAGCACCACAGCAGCCGCTGAGGCCGCGCAGATGTTCTTCTTTTTAGACTTTTTCTTCTTCTCCCTCTCTTTCTCTTGCCTCTCCCTCTCCGCGTCCCACATTTTTCTCTCCTCCTCCTTCTTCTCTTCCTCCTCTTGTTTCTTCCGTTCCTCTTCCTCTCTTAGCTTGCTCTGGGCTTTCTCATACATTTCATTTGTGTAGTGTTTCCCGCCGTTGTCTTGGATCATTTCCTTGATCATCGTAACGAGCTCTTTGACCTGGACTCGATCATCTGCGTCGTTGTTGTTGAAGGCGTGATACCTGCGCCCAAACGTGATGGAGAGTCTACGCAGCTCTTTGCACTCTTTTAGGGCATTGTCAGCTTTGGCCTGGTCCTTGCATGTGAATAGCATGATGGTGTACATGGAGGCATCGTCACCAAAGTTATCCTGGATCCACTTTACAGCGTTTCGCTCCTCCTCGGTGAACCTCACCCCAAGCCTGATCACGAGTAGGAAGGCGTGAGGGCCAGGCACTGACATCTTGACACATTCCTCTATTCTTGATTTTAATTCTTCTTCGGTGATGGCAGTGTCGAAGAGGCCTGGTGTGTCGATGACCTGCACCGTGGTGCCATCCACTTCGCCGCTCTGTGTCTCACAGTGTTTGGTCACCGACACCGGGCTCGGATCCTCTCTGAAGGCAGCTCTGCCAAGTATGGTGTTTCCTGTTGCGCTCTTCCCTGATCCCGTCTTCCCCACTAGGACTATTCTCAGTCCCCCAGACAGATCCACAGCTGGAAAAAAAAGATCTGGAGTCAATAATTAAGTCTGGCCATATAGGTTTACATGTTGATTTGTCTTTGAGGTCTGAATGTGATTTTTTTCTCTTTCTGAACTGCAACAAAAGAATTGGGTTCCAAAAGTATGACACAAAGTGTTAAAATGATTGCAAACTTTTACACACATTACTTTATACTCTCCAGATAAAAATGTGTATTATGACCGCTGTAAAACTACAGTAACACATGTCCATAATTTTGCTATGTGAGAGTCAAAAAAAAAAACGACTATACACAGTTCAGTGTGATACAGAACAGTTACACCACAGCAAACAATTACAATAATAAATTGTTACTTTAATTCCACTCAGACTGTGAGTCAATATAACATTATGATCTCTGTCAAGCAGATTATTTGACGCAGCTCTTGATTTAAATTGTACACATGATCATAATGTTGTGGTTGCTGAATGTAGTTTTAATCAAATACAAAAGTTTTAAACGTCAGAAAAGATGTTAGACATCTAGACAGACTGAAGTTATGATGTTCTATTTCCTAAGCCACAATGATTATTCGTACATTGTTAGTAGTTAGCCAAGAAAGCGATTGTTAGTATTTAACTATTTAATATTAAACACAACACAAAGCCATAAATTGATCGTCTTGGGACTCTCAATAATCATAATGAAGAGGAATAAGGATGTAGACACAAGCTTACCATCAAAGTTATTCAGACCACACCCGTCGGATGGAGGGAGAGTTTTCTGCTTCTTTTCTCGCAATGGTATTGCTGTAAGGTCCAACAATCAAGTGGAAACACAAAAGCAAATGATTTATTACTCATTGCAAAGCAACTTTTCTCATTTATCACACAATCAATCCGGTACTTATGATCAAACCTTTGTCTTACCTTCAGCCATTACCGAATGTCAAATTTCCAGTTAGCGAGTGGCCAAATGTCTTTCTTCAGCTTTGAATTGAGAATTTGTTTCGCTTCTCAATTCTGCTTTACCGTTTGTATGACTGGGAAACTTCTGGAAGCCCGGAATCTGCACAGGGCGCTTCCTATTTCCTTGTATTGTCTTTGAATTGAATTTGAGACAAAATCCCCACATTGGCAGTCCAGCACGCTCTGTATATCCTAAGAGGATTCAACACGATTGCTATATTTTGAAAAAATAAAAGTAAATACATGAGCAGCATTCCTGCTCTTCCACTGATGAACATTTGTGAATTTTACTCGTGCTTTTGCTAAGCCAGTTTGTTGAAAGGGGAGGGAGAAGACATCACATCCTTCCTTTGGTGACTTCCCCTTCCTTCAAAAGCAAGACATTACAACATCGACAGTCAGGCCCTGAGTGTCCCCTCTGGAACATCGGGAAAATTCCTCTTGTGTCCAGGCTGTTTTTTCGGCTGTGCGGGCCTGATATTCCAGTCCACTAAGCTAACTATAACTAACTACTAACTTTCCATCCATGTTCTGATCTGCTTATCCTCACAAGGGTCGCGGGGCGTGCTGGATCCTATCCCAGCTGTCTTCGCGCAGTAGGCGGGGTACACCCTGAACCGGTTGGCAGCTAATTGCAGGGCACACAGAGACCAACAACCATTCACACCCATAATCACACCTAAGGACAATTTAGAGTGTTCCATTAACCTGTTGTGCATGTTTTTCGAATGTGGGAGGAAAGCGGAGCACCTGGAGAAAACCCACGTTGGCACGGGGAGAACATGCAAACTCCACACAGGAAGGCCACAGCCGGAATCGAACCCCACTACTAACTATCCAACCACCCATCCATTTTCTCATCCGCTAATCCTCACAGGGATCGTGCGGCATGCTAGAGTCTATCTCAGCTGTCTTCGGGCAGTAGGAGGTGGGGGGGGGGGGCACTCTGAATTGAAGTTTAAGTGTTTGTTACTTTGAATCTTGATATTGGGGGTTTTGTTAATTTTGGTAATTTAAAAAAAAATTCTTATATTTTGATTATCATTTTATTCCAAGTGTCTTGTTTGCCATTTTGTTTAAGGAAGTAAGCACTTTTTTTTTTTAATAGGGGTCGTGTCTTGACTCCATTTCACTGTATTTTTGTCCTCATAACTCCACCACGCTACTATCCGACCTTGACAAGACTTCTGATAGTACACTGCATTTGTTGTATGGACAATTACGTCACTGTAATATCTACTCTGGAAAACTCTTTCTGGTTCCAACTTCAGATTACAGTATGTGCAGTTCCGGTACAAATGGATAGTATCAAGTCAAGTCAAGTCAAGTGCAACTTTATTGTCAAATGTGCAGTATGTGCAACATACTGCACAGATGACATTTCTTCTTCTCAAGCTAATCCCTCTGGGCAGGGAGTCATGTGGGGGCTAGCTGGCTCTGGAAGCGAGGGTCAAGTGACGTCTCTGTATGGCTCTTGTGCTTACTTAGGGCTTGGAATGGCTGCGGAAATCACCGGCACGACTGTGGCGGAGCGATGGCGGTGGTAGAGTCAAAGAACATTGTTCAAGAACAAAAAGAAGGGCAAAGGATGAGAAGATAAGAGTTAGGAGCGAAAGCCAAGGCCCTCAGGTGGAACGGCCCACCTGTACAGGGAATAAGTTGAGTGGGCCATGAAGCCTGAGGGTAGCGGGTTTGTTATAAGCCCTGGGCAAAGACCCAAAATGGTGCGACAGGGGAGTTTCAGTAGTGAAGGCAGGTAGGGAGTCCCATCGTCCTCTTCATCGGGAAGGTGGGAGTTCATCCGTTTCATGCACAGCACTTAGATGACCACCTACTCGACGGCCGAGGATTAAAACGCCGAAATGCTGTGTCGGAGGTTGTCATCACGCGGAGCCCTTCAATCCAAATTAAGTATGGACAGTACACAAAACTCTTAATTGTGGCACTGACACGTCTTGTCAGGGTTTCAGCTATAGATTAAGGTATTTTTCCCAGCTTTAGTGACTCTCCATCGAGTAAACGTGTTCGAAAAAACGCGTTTGTTACCTTTGGTTTTGATTAAGTCATTCACTGTATTGCAATCAAATTAAATTTCTAACACTAGGGGACGCCCAAGACTTGCAAAACCAGCCATCCATTTTCTAATCTGCTTCTCCTCAGGAGGGTCACGGCCGTGTTGAACCCTAGCTGTCTTCGGGCGTTTGGGAGGAACCCTCTCGAGTATACCATGCAGTTTAGAGTTCCCTAAGTAAGCCTAGTTATTTATTTGTGTTACTATATTTACAAGGAGCGCAGAAAGGTTAACACTGAATTGCGCAGTACCTTTATATGTACTCTGCAGCATCAGCAGCACTTTTAATTTGACCCAGATGACAACAAAAAAAAAAGCCATAATTGTACAATGAACAAAAGCATTTGGAAAATAATACGTCTGGTACAAGCATAGAGGAGATCAAACAGACATTGACCACAAGCAATAATTAATGTGATAACATGAGTGGGTTGGACACTGGCAGATGGCAGGCTTGTTTATTTACATATGTGCTTGTTCCCTGCTTCTGATTTAGCTGCCCTTTCACGCACTTGCGTGACTAGCTGTCTATATAGCTCTGTTAAATGATATCTCCCAGCTGCTGTGAACTAGGAACTGAATGGACTGTTGACAAACACAACCGCCCTTACAATGATCAGATATGCCAACATTTCCACCAGATGTCTGATGTCATACAGAGGAGAGATCCAATCTGATACTTGCTGTAACGATGAAAGGACGGTTTATGTTATGATCCATCTGGACTTCAACATTGGTTGACATGAAAAGTTGGTGCAAAGACAATTATGTATATAACTACTGTGCTATGATTGCACACAGTAGCAATCTGAACACCCACTTATTTCACAGGTGTCAAACTCAATGCCCCGGGGCTAGATCTTATGGTCCAACTCATGTCCGTTGACTTCATGTTTCTAGCAAATTGTCCTCACTTCACAACACTGACATATGAGATACTGCAAGATTTTTTTTGAATCAATCCTCCCTTGAAAATAATCTGAAACGTAGTTGAACAAACAATTTAGTGGCCTCTGATTTTAAAACCTGCTATCCGTCAATTTGTTATGTAAAAGTGATCAGGCGATCATACATTTATATGGGTTCACAGTCATAACGGCCCTCCGAGGGAAACCCTAGCCTCAATGTGGCACGCGACAAAAATAAGTGTGACACCCCTGCTTTATTTGAATCATTTCCTGCTTGTACAAGTTCATCCATCCAATGTGGTCAAGAAGTACTGTATTTGGAGACTGAGTTTTAATGACAAAATCTATTTACGATATTTGTAGGAATGATATCATCAACCTTTAAGTGTGCATAATTCAGTAGCTGATCATCTCAACAACATCAAAACGCCTGAAATACCAGAAAGCAAGAATTATGTGAATGATGAAAGAATCCATACTTGGTAGTACTTTGTAAATCGGCAGGTAAAAGCGACTATTAATATTTAAGTAAAGGAGAGACAGATTAGCCTTGAAAGAAATCATATTGGCGAGGGGACGACTATGTTTTTTTTTAATCAGATTGTTCCAGTGGTTAGCGCATCGACCTCACAGTGCAGAGGGACCGGGTTCGATTCCAGCTCCGGCCTTCCTGTGTGGAGTTTGCATGTTCTCCCCGTGCTTGCGTGGGTTTTCTCCGGGTCCTCCAGTTTCCTCCCACATTCTCAAAACATGCACGGCAGGCTGATTGAACACTCCAAATTGTCCCTCGGTGTGACTCTGAGCGCGGATGGTTGTTCGTCTCTGTGTGCCCTGCGATTGGCTGCCAACCGGTTCAGGGTGTCCCCCGCCTACTGCCTGAAGACAGCTGGGACAGGCTCCAGCACGGACCCGCGACCCTTGTGATGATAAAGCGCATCAGAAAATGGATGGAGGCATGGATGGATTCTTTTCTACCAAGGAAACCAAGAAATATGGACAATAAAAGGAACGGATTGGGACCCATTGCATACCATAGTGCACAAACAACAAACTCCGGTCCTTGTATGTTTTCCATCTCCCTCTGTCTACCTGCTTTTGCCCTCACTCTCTGTATACAGATCATTTTAATTGCATGGATGGATGGATGGATGGATGGATGGATGGATGGAAGTTTCAGTGTTTGGTGCTACATATAGCAAACTGTGTACCTTTTGCATTTCAGACACCACGATAGGAGCACACAGTGTGACTCATTGTTTACAGAGGACCGATCACCTGTTCAAATGTGTGTTTTTCTCTGTCTGAGCTTCTACAGATGCATTGACACAAAAGGCTCCAATCCAATATCCCTCCTCCAGTACCTGATTCAAATGATCTAAAACAGGCTGTATAGGGGTTCTCGAGCAATGGACTTGGGCACCGCGACACCCCTCATACACACACATAATACACCCAGAAAGAAAGAAAGTCAATAGTCTTCAAACCTTAGAAATACATAAGATTTATTCAAATTGCATGTAACGTGCAACAGAGAACAAACACTTTTTGATGAATATTATCTTCATTGTCAATTTATTTCCTCGACCGGTCTGTTCAGGAATAAAGTTTTGCAGATCCGACAATGACGTAGTCTAATGTATTTTTTTTTTTTTTTACAGTGTTTTCTGTTCATTGGTCTTTCACTGTATTTGGCATATTTCTTTACTTTTGCCTGCCTTGCGTGCACATTGTGGTCCAGTGACTTGTCGTAGCTCAGCGCTGAAGCTCGGCCTACGGGCCTGAGGGTACAGCAGTCCGCAAGCATCATTATGTCCCAGCAACTGGACTGGAAGGGGACCAGTGCGTATGGCCTGATATGAATGGAGAGACAGTTTGCGGTGTTGTGACGGTCCAGTTTCAGCCGGGAGCCCACCACGCTTTGCCAAAGCCTCGAATACTTTCTCCAGATTGGTGCTGTCCTTTGCTGAAGTTTCAAAGTAGGCACAGTTGTCACCGAGAGCGTGGAGCACCTCGGCTCGGGAGACTTCCCTCTCACATTCCTGAAGATCGACTTTATTTGCGCAGACCACCAAGGCGAGCTTCTGCTGTGTCAAATCGTGTGACCATTTAGTCAGTTTGGATTTGGCTGCCAGGATCTCCTGTCTGAGAGCACACACCTCTTCCAGTGAGTTCCTGTCATCCACGCTGAAGACGAGCAAGAAAATGTCCCCTGCAGAAACAACAACATCCATTTAATTATTACTTTCAAAGGGTAAATTACACTTTGCGTCACAGGTGTCAAACTCAAGGGCCTCATGTCAGTTTATGTGGCCCGGCTAAGGCTTGCCACAATATTTCCTTGACTTCAGTTCAAAACTAGTTATCCAATATCACTGTGATAATAATCAAATGGTAGGGCAATTATATATTATTATTATTAAGGTTCCAACCTATGATGTAAAGGACAAGAAGTTTAAAGTCTAGCCACATCCATGCTGTTATTTCCTAAAAAGAAAATAATTAAGATGCTGATTTTTCATTTCGAATCTCATTAAATCTTTGTATGGTTACACAAATGTTGAGCAGTTTGTTTTGCATTTTGTTCTCTTTGGGTACCGAACCACGAAGGTAACACCAAGTACCTAGCCAATTGATTTTTGGCATACGTTACACAAGCAATTATTTATTTACTGAATGTGGTCTCACTGTTACCACCTCCCTGAGTACAACCGTAACAGCCCGTGTATATGTGGCCTGTGATGACAGCTTGACACGAACACACCTCGTGAGATTATCATGGTGCGATGGGAAATTAAATGTAATTTGTCAGAAAGTTAGTTTATATTCATTCAAAATATATTTTTTTTATCTTTCTATGCTAGCAACTACAGTGACAGGCAAGACATTTAAATGATATTTCAAATTAGATAAAAGAATACTTGTGAATCTATACCTGTTGCCATTCAATAGAATAGAGTCCTGCAAGTACAGAGTCAGCTCAAACAGGCCTACATTTCACTGTCAGTTTGTGCTTACATTGAGACGATATTCGCTTTTGGTTACATTTTGTGCCTGGGATTGTTCGAATGTCATGAGTGCCTTATTGTCCAAATATCGGTTGGGAAACAGTGTCCCACATACGACATGCAATCCAACAATACGCACCAGTCAGAATAGATAATCGCCGCTTGGCTGGGAAGTCCCTCTCCCCGGATGCATCTAATATGTCTATTTGGTAAGTTTCCCCGCGTATGCGGAACAGTTTTCGGACGAAATCCTCGGACGTGGGCTGGTACTCCTCCACGAATCCATCTCGCAAGTACCGTCGCAGGATGGAGGTCTTGCCGACCCGCGGTGCGCCAAGAACCACAATGCGCTTACAGTGCTGAGGCTTGGTGGAGAACGAGCGCTCCTGTGGGGGTTCCTGACCTATTTGCCGTCGCCGCGTTTGGCAATGGAGAAGCAGGGCTGCCAGCTGATCCAGCGGGGAACTCTTGCACCTGTTCTCAAAGTTCGTCGGCTGCTTCGGGGTTGCGCCTGTGTGCGTCTTCTTGTCCTGCCTCCACTGAGACGTGGCCACTTTAAGTATCCCCAAACCTACTTTGATCCCCGACAAGTTAAGGTTTTGCGATGCGTTTTTGTACGCCAGTAGGACTTTGGAGCACCCGGAGCTCTGCGAATCTCTGCTACCAAGGAGCTGCGGATCACCCGAGGAGGAGCAGCAGCGAAATTGCTTTGAGATGGACGACTTCTGTTCATCCGTGGACATACTCCCAACTTCCATCGTATTGTACAATTTCTATCCGTGGCGTGAGAGAGTGCGATGAGTGTTTGGCTGTGTGACTCCTCTGTTCTGCGCAGATATACACTCGCGTCAACCACGTGATCTATCTGCGTCATGATGAACGCCAGAGTGCGTTGTTCATCGTGGACATCGAGACCTTTTGATTAATGTAAAGAACGTTCTAAAAAACATGATCGATATCAGTAAAGTGACTCATTAGTAGGGCCTATGGGTATATTTCATAAGAACTGTATTCAATTGTTATTGTTATTTGCAGCAGTAACATAATTGCGACTTCATTTCATTCTCATGAAGTAATTATCAACAGCACTCGGTTGCTCCAATGCGTATCTCACCATTCACTACAAACGTGCACGAAACATTTCATATGATCAATTTATGAACAGTAAATATTGGCTCGTCTCCCAACATGTGGAAGCTTATGTAGAGCTATCCACCAAAAATAACGAACCCCTTAACTTACACATGCCTCACATATTTACACATTTTCTATATAGGATAAGATAAGATAAGAAAACCTTTATTTGTCTCACAATGGAGAAATTCGCAATATGTTGACTTTTGTAACAGATTATAGTTTTTTTTTGTAAATGATGAAGAGCCACTTCCATTTTAGGTGTCTGCCTCTACTGTCTGCTCTTATGTAGAGTAAAAAAAAATCCAACAAAAACAGTGGTAAGTGGTCAGAGCAGCAAGGCCGTCTCTGTTAGCCTTCCTTGTTCCATGAAATTCTTTTAATTTAAAACCAATAGTCTCTCATCATTTTGTAATGTTTTCCTTTTCAGATTTCAGGCTCGATGGGCTGCCATGGTCTGTTAAGTGTCTTCTGAGTCAGTAATGCCTGCCAATGTAATTTGGGACTGTGTCTTTAAACAATATTTCAAATTCACAGAGGCAAGGAATGCAAGATGATTTTTTTTTTGGGGGGGGGGTCGGACAGCAAACATTTTTGCAGGCAACTTCCACTGGTAGCTGTGGTGATCTGCACATATTAGTATATTTAATAATCTGCATCTTTATTTTATCAGAAAAATATTAATACTGACCCATACGTGTGCTGATTTGTTTTTTTTTTCCAAAGTATTGATGGTGCCTACACTGTAAAAAAAAGTTCAATTTCAAGCCAACAAACATGGATAAAATTTTTAAATTGGGCAGTTCAACAAAATACCTTAAGTTTTGCTGATGTGAAAATAGTTCATGCATTCATCTCTAGTCATCTAGATCACTGCATTGCTATTTTTTCTGTCTTAACAAATCAAGCACTCAACACGCATCAACTTATTCAAATTGCTGCAGTTAAATTCTAACAAAAACAGATTCGAACACATCACTCCAGTCTTCAAGGTTTTCCATTGGCGTCCGATTGAGCACAGAATCAAGTTTAAGATTACACTTGTTGTTTTTAAACCTCTTAATTGTGCTGCCCAGCCTTGTGTTTGTCACATGCTCACTATCAGACAGACACCTTAGATCCAGATGTAAGTCTTTCCTCAGTATAGCACGTATACAGTACATTCAAAATCAGATGAATGGGCTTTATTTATTATGGTCCAACACTGTGGAACTCCTTGCCTTTGGAACTTTAAATATAATTTTACAACATATCCCTTCTCGTGGCGGCCCGGTGGTCCAGTGGTTAGCGCGTCGACCTCACAGTGCAGAGGTTCAATTCCAGCTCCGGCCTCCCTATGTGGAGTTTGCATGTCCTCTCCGGGCCTGCGTGGGTTTTCTCTGGGTACTCTGGTTTCCTCCCACATTCCAAAAACATGCATGGCAGGTTAATGGAACACTCGAAATTGTCCCTAGGTAGTAGAGTGTGAGTGTGGATGGTTGTTCGTCTGTGTGTGCCCTGCGATTGGCTGGCAACTGTTTCAAAGATGTTCCTCGCCTACTGCCCAATAACAGTTTGGATAGGCTCCAGCACCCCCTGCAACCCTTGTGAGGACAAAGCAGATCAGAAAATGGATGGTGGAGCCCTTCTGATTAGCTTTGAATTAATTTTGGTTTTGTTTGGCTGTTCGTTTGTTTTGTTTTGTTTTTATTGTTTGTTTTAATATGTAGTTTCAATGCACAATATTGCCAACTTGCTGTATCCTGAATGGGTTTATGGTGTGACAAAATCAGATTGAAATTGACATCTCAAAAGGATTTAAAAGCGAAGTCGAGAAATATAAAGTAGTTTATTAAAAAAAACGTTCATCTTACCATCATTCCTTTCGTTACACTCACTCTTGATGACGTGTCAAATGTCCCTGTCCTTTACCGCTAAGCATTACGGTAAACACGTGTGCGCAGTTGCCAGGTACTTTTGATGACAACAGGACGCACGCACCTCGAAGCTCATTTTTTGAAGGTTTTGGAGTGAAAGCTGAAGATAAAAGAGGCATGTAAGTCTGTGTTAGTGAATTGAGTTTTTACGAGTGATGTCTGGTGGCATTTTGTGTAGCGAATGACACGTTAATTGAGAGCTCATTGTGTTAACTTTTACTTTTAATTTACCTTTTCATGGAAATGGTGGCTTGGCTCAGGGTATATTATGTTCGTCAGGAGATTTAAGATGAGCGTGTGGTTGAGTTAGTTTCGTTCCAACTTATTTTTCTGAAACCATCTGTTGCTTGCGGCTTGTGGAAAGGTATGGCAAGAACGTCCACAAAGTAATCTCCGTAAAAAGAGATAGGGTTTCAATGCAAAAAGACGTCAGTGAAACGAGCAGCGTGGCAGTAAAGAATAATGACCTTGTCAGACTAGGTAACTGCTAAGCCTAAGAGTCATAGTATTCTCTATGTACAGTATATATACAGTACTGTATTCGTGTATGTTTCATTGAATATTCTGGACCCTTACTGTGTTACGTCAGTGTGTCCACCATGTTGGATGTGGATTTACAGTATATCAATTTATTACTAATAATGCCAATCACTAAAGATGAACTAGTTGGATATCTTTCACTAGTAACAAGTGTTTCTCCATTGCTTTCTTGGCCTTTTATCTTTTCTCCATTGCTTTCTTGGCCTTTTATCTTTGCTTATTGTGTGAAAAGCTAGTTAAGCAACTCACAGCAATCATAGTAGCTCTTAATCAGAGTAGACTGAGCTTTTGGCAGTTTAAGGGCATTATTCAGGGAGACGAATGGTCACTCTGTCAGAGCTCCAACGTTACCATGTGGAAATGACAGAATCTTCTTGTAGGACATCTTTGCAGCAATTCTCCAATCAGACCTGTATGGTGGATGGAAGCCACTCCTTTGTAAAAGGCACAGGGCAACTTCCTCAGAGTTTGCCCTAAGGCATCTGAAAGCTGCCCAGAACACAATAGGCAAAATGTTGTGGTATATTCTGACAAAGATGGAACTATTTATGAATGCCAGAGGTCATGTTTGGAGGAAAACAGGCACTGCCCAGCATCTGGCCAAAGATGTCCTGCTATCATGTTCACAATTGGATCTCTTTGTAAATGTTCTTGTTGATCGTCTCGCCCACATTGAAAGGGACAAATTGTGGTTTGTGAGGTTCTGATTGTCAATTGTGTGTGTGTATGAAACACGTTTCATAAACAAATTGCATTTATCTAACTTACTACTCACTGTCTATGATTTCCATTGCAGATTCATATAAGGCCCAGTTAAAAATAACTCACACCAGGCTCATGGCTCATGCGCTCAGAACTCATTCAGCGGATGTGAGCAAAAATGCTCATCCACGTGTATGAAACACATGTTTCATAAACAAATTGCATTTATCTAACTTACCACTCACTGTCTATGATTTCCATTGCAGATTCATATAAGGCCCAGTTAAAAATAACTCACACCAGGCTCATGGCTCATGCGCTCAGAACTCATTCAGCGGATGTGAGCAAAAATGCTCATCCAGCGACCCGCCGCCTTGGATCCCAACCACTGGTTCATTTGGGTATGTTGTGTTTGTAATGACACAGTTCTCAGCATGTATGTTGTATTTATGAAGAAATTGTGTCCATTCGGCTAAAGGCACGTCTTCAGGATCTGAACGCTTTCAGTTTGATGACAGAGGGATGCTTCTTCCTCACAGCATCCTGGGAAGCTTGGATGGCTTTAGAAAGTACCTGGAGATGAGAGGAGAGACAGAGGTGAACTCTTAAAAGTGTTTTTCAAACTTGAATTTAGAAATTAATAAATCTAACTGCACTTCTTCACACAAAACATTCAAAAATATATTTTTAAAAATCTTTGTATGTATCCTAAACTTCTTCCAGTTAGTCGGACAAATACCTAATTCCAGAAGAGAACCTCCATCCCATGTCCGAGGGACGCATCCTCATGACCAGCGAGATGTTCCTTTCGGCCAAAGAAACTTGCAAGCAAATGCCCTGCAGAATTGGGATGAATACATCAAGCAGCGCAAACGACAGCAGAACAACTTATCTGGTGAGCTGATTGCACAGATGCAGTTTGCTGTCAAATCCTGTTTGTATTTTAAAAACTGAATAATATACAGTCACAGAAAAGTTATTCTACTTGCTTAACTCATCAATATTAAAGATGCATTATAACAACAACCTGTTATTCAAGAATACACAAATGAACACCTAAAAACTAAATGGAAAATCTATTGTCATCATAGCATTCGACAAACACTTAATACATTGACTTTTGTCTTTTTCTGCATTTTGCGACTTTCACCTGTGTCCAGGACGCCTCAAAAGGCCAGTGGAAAATTTACTGATGAACCGAGATTACCCTTTCAAAGAGCTACAGGAGCAGCGAGAACTTCTACGTCAAGTCTTGCCGCTCATCCAGTCAGGATATGTATGATTCTAATTCAGTGCTTGTCATCTTGGATGTCACTTACCTCTCTATTATTATAACATCCAGACTTATTTTCATTGTCCTGATAGGATCTTCTGCCTCATGTGCTTTTGCTTCAATGCGATATAGGGGCACCGTGTAGGAAGTGAATTTTGGAGTTTCCCCCAACGGTATGGAAATGAATTCAGCGGTATCAGAGCCACTCTGACACAGACAGAGCAAGGCAAACGGAAACCTGTCACAATTATTGGACAACCACATAGCATACTCCAGGAATCTGGTAAACACACTCTCTCTCTCTCTCTCTCTCTCTCTCTCTCTCTCTCTCTCTCTCTCTCTCTCTCTCTCTCTCTCTCTCTCTCTCTCTCTCGCACACACATCTCTCTCTCTCTCTCTCTCTCTCTCTCTCTCTCTCTCTCTCTCTCTCTCTCGCACACACCTTGAACTGTGATCAGATTGTGTTCTGTAGTTGGGCAAAATAAATGAACATCAACAGTGGTGCTTCACTGCTTACCTCGTACTATGACCATCGAGCAACATGAATTATTTTAATGCAGACTCATTCAATTTAATTGCGCTTTTTCATTTTTTTGCCATTCTCGAGTCTGGCGACCCCTGATGGAACAAACCGACCATTGCAATATTAAAAGCATCCGTCCATCCATCCATTATCCAAACCACTCATTTGTGTGAATGAGCTTCTACATACTGGCGGATTAACCATAACAGTAACATAATAATGATTCTGGTAGTTACTGGTAATTTTGGGCCACTGCAGTTCAAACCTACGTTTGGAGATATAGTTATACATTTGTTAAGCTCTGTAGCGTAGGCCTTGGACCCGCTCCCTTACAATGCTATACATACTGGAGAGGCTGAGCATGAATACACCCAGATAAAGTCCTATTTTTTTATAACCTTCTTGGCATTGCATAGGAATCACTTGTGCTGAGATGCTGTGTCCAGCTTCTCAGATTTTGGACCCAAATAAGGACATGCAGCAACGTGCACTTCAAGAAGTCCTGCAGGGCTTGGAAATCAACAAGCAGGTAACACCAATTAATTCACGCCATTTATGTCTGAATGTGTTGACTGTTTGTCTTGTCTGGTTCTTCCTAACATACTGTACCAGTCCAATAGGTTCCTGTGATGATTTACTTTATACTTAATACCAACTTGAAATGTTTACGTTCAAAGCGATGCTACCAAAGTCACCAAAACATTTCAGTGTTTGCATATGGCATGAGAAACTTAAGCACAGAATACATTTGCATTCAAATCCGATCAAAGATTGTTTTAAATTCATGTCATTCAAATTTTACTGCTATAATAAATCAGCTATTATGTGTGTATATATACACACATACATACATACATACATATATATGTGTGTGTGTGTGTGTGTATATATATATATATATGTTTGTTTTCGCAGGGAACTTCATTTCAGATATGCTCACAGATTTTGTTTGTGCAAAATTCATTTTGGCAAAAACATTGCACTACTCATCCAAGAGTTTTTGTGCAAAATTCATTTCAGCAAAAACATTGTACGACTCATCCAAGACTTCCCACACTCTGTGTACACTTTGTCCCTGCTTGCTATTTATACTCAATCTTTTGATCACAGTGTCCTGTTTTATTTTCAGGTCAAGGAACAAACTTCGATCTAACAGGAGTACATGTACATACACAAACCCACAAAATACATTTGTATTATTTTTTTGCAGACAGTCTTAAACTGTTCAAAACCTACATACAAAATATGTGATGCACGATGTCCATTACAACTTTGAAGTGGACATAGTGAAGACATTGATGAGACAACTTTTACACTGGGGACAAAATTATTGAGCCGTACTTCACAAAGTATCATCCATCCATCCATTATCCAATCTGCTTATCCTCACGAGGGTCGTGGGCATTCTGGAGCCATTTACTTTGTAATAAATTTGGGATAGTAAGCAGTGAGCACCCACACTGAAGCTTCATTCTTAGGCATAACAAAACTTGTTGGGTAATTCTATGCGAGCAACATTGTGCAAGCAGTTTGAGGAGGACCCTTTCTCCTCAAGCATGACTGTGCACCCGTGGAATGTCCATCAAGACTTGAATTAGATTTGGGTGCAATGTGAGAAGTTTGTCCTCAACGCTGTTGCCATTTTTTTTTTCAGGAAAATGTTTGCTTTGCGTCAAGGATAAAAAATAAAGAATAAAGACCAATCTTCTCAAGGACAGTTTGTTATCGCCTGGGTTAGTAGACTACACAGTTGCACATAGTGTTTGTGACTGTTAAACCACACATATTTTATAATGGTTTATTATTTTTCCTCTGAGGGTCGAGAATGTGTCTGGCAAAATGCATATCCTTGCGTTGATTAAACTGTACATTTAATGTACGTGATGTTTCAAAAAATGTTCAATCTTTTTAAATACCAATGCAATATTTGTATACGAAATACTGTCGATTTTATGTTGGAAAAGTCCTGCAAGTAAACAATTGTCTCTACTAGACCAGAGATCGTGAGTGATCAGGATCTGCGTACAAATTCAGAGATGTTGAGCTCACATACCTTTCTGGAAAGTGCAATTAAATTGCCTAGATACATCTTATAGAAAGCCTATTTTAGCTACAAAGGGGGAACCAACTACAGGAGATGGTCTTCATATTTCCACTTCCTGTTTTATGTGTTATGTCGCAGTGTCCCATATCTATAGTATGTCTTAATTAGCTTGGTTGAGAAAGTAGGGAATGTCCAAAATGTTGAAAATATTGTATGTTGATTGGCCACATTAGGCAGTTCACAGCTGAGATTCATGTGGTATCAAAACATTAATGTTCTGCATTGTAATTATTATATCAGCACGAGCAACCAGTTCCCAATTACTCAAAAGTGCCAGGTGCTTATTATGGACTAATTTATTCATATTCCACTCTTTTCAATTATTTGTACTGTTGACATAAGCGGAAAATTAGAGCAAGGTGTTCTATTGCGCTGTGTGCTACTTATGTTTGTGAAAAAAAAGAGATATTATCAGAACATGGAGAGACCACAACTTGATGTGTGGTGAAAGATGAAAATTTACCGAATCTCTAATGTGACCCGAGGCTCACAATGGAGGCAATTCTAAATCAGCTGAGATGAGAACAAAAGATTGCCCATGCATTTAACAATAAAGTCACTCTCTGTTCAGAGGCATACAGATAGATGATTATTAAAATAAATGATTACTCTACACTGCCTAGAACTACAATGCATAATGAGGAAGTTTCATGTGAGTTCAAAGGGTTTCAGAAAACTGAGTGTCTCGTGTGCCTTACTTGGAGGGAAATGAATATAGGATGCACATATTTTATACAAGGAACGTGTGTGTGACTGACAAATGTAGTGTAATAACTTCCAGTAACCAGAATGTGCCACTTTAATTTTAGGATCTCGGCAAACTAGAGGTGATTGGCTCGAGCAAACCTGTTGTGAAAGAGTGCCGCAGTCTTTTTTTGGAAGAGGACGAGAGTATGAACATGCAATGTTCGGAGATGGAAGATGAGAATGTGTGAGTAATATGTGTGTTTATGCCGTTGTAACTGTAAAACAATTTTGATGAATAAGATCATACTTGAATGGAAGAAGTTGAATTTGTCCATTGGTACTGACATACATTTAATTGTTGATATGCTTGCTTTAAAGAAAGAACATTTCGATTGGTCTATGAAATAATTGTATGGTGTAGTGACTTCTGTGTACATAATTCACCACCAACTGCAAATGTGTGAATGCAATGTTCATATGCTTGTCAGAGAGTTCACGATTATTTGGTAACGGGGTAGAAATAATTGCAGTCCCTTTAAGGACCGCCATTTTAGTCTGCTTGTTTCTATGGAAACTGACTTTCGGCGGGCTTCGTTTGGCGCGAGTGTTTTTTTTTGGTGTGCTCATAAAAAAACACGACACACTCTCTCTCTGAGTGCGCACGTGAGAAATTGTCGCTTTCTTCGAGTTCTACAATTTCCACAACCCTTTATTTAAAGTAATGACCCATCTGAAGTCCCTCTCGTCTGACATTGTTTTACCAAGAAACTCACTTCTTCTTGCATGGCCACAATTTCATCAGGGGCGACTCTGCCTAAAATCTGAATTGATATTTATGGTCCTAACTTCAACCAGAAAGGTGTTCTCCCGAATAAATAATATCTCACAAACGAATTTAATTTTAGGAGCTAATCTGAACTGTTCTTGGATATCTCCTGTACGAAACAGGCTTCATGTTCAATTACTTATTAAAAGGATACATGAGTCACTCCAACAGAGAACACACCCGCATTGACTTCTGATAGATTCAAACATTTTGTGAATGTTTGTTTTTGGTTATCCAAACATTAGTTAGAATCAAAACCAAAACTAACATTTTGAGAACGTTCCATGGCAGTTACGCAGCCCGAGTAACACTGAACGTCAAGAGAAGGTTATCCGACAATGAATTTTTGGATATTGTGGAAATTGTAAAAACTCAAAGAAATTTCTCACGTTCACACACTGAGAGAGTGTGTCGTTTATTTAGCACACCAAAAAAGCTCCCGCGCAAACTGAGACCCGTCGAAAGTAAGTTTCCATAGAAACAAGCAAACTAAACATGGCGGTCCTGAAAGGGACTGCAATTACTTCTACCCAGTTACCAAATGACCGTGACAAGCATATGAAAAAACATTGCATTCACACATTTGCAGTTGGTGGTAAATTATGTATATAGAAGTCACTACAATATTGCTTGCCATGCAAGTTAACAAGAGTTTAATGCTGTACCGTTGCAGTTCGTGACAACATAGTTCTGTCTCTCAGTGTTTGCACATTTTTCGCAATTGTCTTCAACCAAATGTACTTTTTACAAACAAATCTCTGAATTCACTTTGCATCTTTGTTGTTCACAGTAGTGATGCAGGCAGGCTGTGATGTAGACTTACAGAGCCAGATGTTCACTTGCACATGTACAATGTTTTAAACATGTATTATTCAAAAATTGCATGCAGATATCTGCAATTTTAGCATACAACGAAGTTTAGGCAGATACTATGAAGCTACAATGCTGTATTAAGGACAATGTTCTTTCCCTCATGAGAAAGTGGTGTTGGTTTCTCATCCTCTTCTGCCTCAATTTTCTTTTTGAAAACATCCAACAAAGCTGCAGGGCACACATCTCTGAAGAGTAATGTTTAAATTGACAATGGTAGTCGCACAACATGAGCATTGTCCTGATTATAGATTCTGTAACAGAGATATTTTTCCCTTATTACAAAACAATAAATCAATGTATCACCCAAATGATTTTGATGCTAATTTTGAAAGTGTTAAGTTTTGGTTCATTTGGCAATGTGACATGTAATTTTACAACATGTTGAATATGGGAATCATAGATAAATGTCCCACTATGATTAGTCCTGTAATTTGTATCTCTCTTTCTCGGCCAATTCTAAAAATGAGGTAAAATAATAATGTCCACTATCTTCAGAAACTAAATAAAACATAATCGTATGTATTTTCTGTTTCATTTTCTTCCCCAGTGACCCACTGGCACATAACGACAGTCAGTCAAATACTCTCCTCATTCCCGCCATGAGGTTCGCCGGTCAACTTGCTAGCTGGACTGGGAACTCTTCTAGTCAGCAGGTACGCAATGGCTTCATTTCAGGAATGTGAAATATTGGTCAAATGTCTCCCGCTGTTTTCAAATACTATATGTGTTGACCAGGGAAAGGTAGGAATCAGCACGACAATAATTTTTGAGGCTCATGTTGGAGAACGAGTCTCGTCTCAACTGGAGATATCAAATGAGGGCAGCACAGCCCTCCTATTCAGCTGGCAGCAGCTTCCCCTGCCGCAGAAATTCGCAAACCTTCAGTCGCGATCCAGCTGCCCACACTTCTACTTCAACAGCTCCTCAGGTACACACGCCAACAAAAACTACTGCCACCAACATCACACAACGTTGATAGCTATAAACTTCATTTGTCTGACAGTACAGGATATCTTTGATAGGGCTGTATAATAAGACTCAAAATACTTTACATTTTCCTCCTCCATTCAGGGGTCATCCATCCAGGAGAGACCCAGCAAGTGGAGTTTATATTTAAGTCGGCAAGGCCAGGCATTATAACTGAGCAATGGCAGTTCAACACCCACCCTTTGTTGCTCCAAGGAGCCTCGGTTCAGGTCACGTTGAAGGGGGTTTCACAGTTACTGGACAGGACAGCAAGACAGAGGCAATTCATAGAGGTATGATACACTTTCAGGAAAACGCATGACATCATCATACGGTGTACCTTGCATAAGCAGTGACGCCTTGAGAAGGTTAATTGTTCCATAACTGCACATGAAACTCAAATAATTTGTATCTCACATTATCTTTCCTCATTGAAATAAATGTAAATGCCCTTAATTTGTTCCAGCTTCCCAAACAAAGCAACAAAAAAAAAAAACGTAATGTTTTACTATATCAGGAAAATAACACTCCATATTGTACTTTAGAAAAGCATACAGTAATGAAATTATAAAATAGAATCTACAGAATTAAATAGTCTGAGCTTCATTCCAATGGACATTGTTTGGCTCCTTCTTGTGTGTGCGCCTTGGCCAGCTGCGGGCAGTATAATAGTCGTGAGTATACATAAGCATGTTCACATCTCTTCAGTAACCCCCAGTATTTCTCATTCTTTACAGAGACTAAAGAATATTTGCCTGTGATTATTATTATCTATCTACATGTGTTACTCCATTTGTGTTCAACTAGCAATTGCTTACAGTGTGATACAGTAGCACCAATACATGCTATTCGTGAGCTCATAGATCGTGTGTTGCATAGTTTAACAGAAGCTAAACTGAATTTCCTGTGGCAAAGCTTCAGCATGTGATTGTTTTAAATATGCCAGTTATTATTTTGGGGCCGTGGACCGGTTAGCATGTCGGCCTCACAGTGCAGAGGTGCAGGGTTCGATTCCGACTTCGCCCTCCCTTTGTGGAGTTTGCATGTTCTCCCTGTACATGCTTGGGTTTCCTCTGGGTACTCCTGTTTCCTCCCACATTCCAAAAACATGCATGGCAGGCTGATTGAACACTCTAAATTGTCCCAAGGTGTGAGCGTCAGCACGGATGGTTGTTCGTCTCTGTGTGCGATATGTTTGGCTGGTAACCGGTTCAGGGTGTACCCCGCTTAGTGCCTGAAGACAGCTGGGATAGGCTCAAGCATGCCCGTGATCCTTGTGAAGATCAACGGATTAGAAAATGGATGGACGCATGGATGAAGTCATTATTTTTGTTTTATGTTTAATTAACTGTTTGACAATACACTTCTTCTGGGACTGACAAGACAGCTTGAAGATTTGTTCACTGTCAGCCAAACTGCAACTAGTTGTGAAGTGAGTAGTGTTTAAGTTACTGCCACCATATAGCACTCGTACCTCAAATTGTTGTTCTCAAGTCAAAATGACGCCTCTCATCTCCCCAAACGTATGAGCTGGCACTTTTCCAGCTTGGGAGCAGCATGCCTGTTTTGATTTAGACCAGGTAAAAAAGCCTTGATGGCCAGTTACATTAATGTAGAGAGAAATTGACGCCGTTTCTGTCTCTCTGAGACTGCGCTACTGCTTTGTTTTTTTTACACTTTGACCAACCACTAGTGTCTTAGAGGGAGAAAATCTATATATATATATATATATTAAAGTTTTTGTTGGTGTGTCCTCAGACAAAGCTGGAAGAGAGAGCCAGACTGGAAGTCTGCCGGATGATTGTCTACGAGGTCATGCGAGGAATTCAGACTCCAGAAAGATCCAACTCTCCTGCAGAGCCATACATGGTATAAAAAAAACAACACTTTGCTGTAGTCAGTCCATATTTCACCTCATTATCTAATTTATTAGTGCATACATATCTGATTGACTTCAGCTACTCACTACTCCCCCTCCTACACTATAAAAAGAGTTGTGTTGCCACATTACCTAAGTGGGTCGATTGAGAGGTTGATTAAATCGTTCCAAGGAATATAGGACAATAGCCAGGAGTCTGAAAACCATAAAGACCCATTTACTAACAGACAGGGAATCATAAAGTGTCATTTGGAATTTATTGCATTATATTAAAGTTACATGATATTTATATCCCCCCCACACACACACAAAAAAAGAAACCAATTCAAAACAGAGGGTGGGTTTTATACATCGAGTTCAGGAAAAAAATAAAAATTCGAATACATAGTATAGCTTGTTGACCTGGCTTCAGGCAGACTGTTTTGGTAATAAGACGTTTGATGCAAATAAAAAAATATCCACTTTGGCCATTTTCAGTGGCCGAAAAGGTTCGGTGAATTAGAAATTTGTAATCGAGTGTTTAGGCCAGCCTCAGACGATAGTGACTCGACATAGCAGCGTGCTGGCCCTGGGCCACCATTCATGTCAAACCCTGCTTACAAAATGGAAAGAAATGTGAAATATGTCTACACTTAGTGTTTGATTCTTCTTTGTGTTTAGTTGCAATATCTTGATCAGTCAGAGGAGGACCTAAATAAGCTTTTGCAAGAAATGAATCCAGAACACATCTGGGACCTCTCAGACACATCCAAACAGGTAGAAACATTATGTGATGATGTGCTGCAATAACTACATTTTTACGACATCCGCTTTGTGTTTTTTGTGCTTTCTTTGAAAGTATTTGAGCAAATAATTACTGAAGCAGGAATGAGCAGCTCTGTGTATGATGATTCTGTTTTAATTATAAATGTTTCAATTGTTGATAATGACAACCATAGTCATTATATATATATATGTATATATGTAT